CACTGGAAGTACAGGGAGTTCAGGCTCGGACCTGCTGTCTCCTGACTCTGATGACACTGACACAGAGGGAGAGAGGGGGCGGGAGCGAGGAGTGGGGGCAGTGGGCGGGCCTGTTGCCCCGCTACCCCACAAGACCCCGCCCGCTTCTGCTGTAGAGGCGGTTGTATCAGTGGCTGCATCTGTAACCTCCACGCCAAGCCGAGACCAAGACCGTGATCGTCCCAGAGAGACCCCGCCCCCTTCAAGTCCTGTTACTGTGGTGACATCCGGCTCCGATCCTGAATGTCACAGGGAAGTTTCTGAGCCCCAGCCTCCGTCATCCACTGCCCTGCAACGCCTGGCCCAGAACCTTCACCGCCTCGCCAGAAATCTGACCAGAACTAACCAGAACCAGCAGAACCAACCTTGGACCAATCACAGCCCACTGCACCAGCTGGAAACGGGAAGAAGTGGCGCTGAAGCTACTATGCGACGGGCAAGCAGAGAGGAAGAGGAAGATGTTGAGCTCCTCATCCCTGTCTCTGACTCCTCCTCCTCTTCCTCATCGCTCAGCGACATACGACAGCCTCTACTGGAGCCTCACCCGTCCTCCACTGCGGGGCCCACCCCCCATCATCATCATCATCATCGTGGAAAGAATGGGCGGGACGGTACTTGTGAACATTGTGGGATGGTCCACACAGCTCAGATCCCCGATGCATGCCTCGAGGCTACGGGCAAGACGGAGAGCAGCGATGATGAGCTGCTGCTGCTGTGCTAACAGGCTAACCTGCCAGCTAACATGCTAACTGTCCATCGTTTTTTCCTCTCTTCATACATTAACCAACTGATCCGCTAACAAGACAACTTACCAACATCCAAACAACATGCTAATACATCTCTTAACCTCACCCCTCTGCTGGCTATAATGCTAATTTCAGGGCTGACATCTTTCTCTCCAAAGCTGCAGCTAGCAGACTTGCTAAACGCCTGACTAACATGCTAACACTGAGTAACAAACTAACTCTTCTTTTCTAACCAACTAGCTAATGCTATAGATACTAGCCAAGGCTTTCACTTCAATGGCTAGCTTGCTAACATGCTTACACATCAGCTTGAGCTTTTATCGAACTTCTTTTACAGTTAGTTAGCATGCTAGCTGGATTAAAGGTTAGAAAAATCTTTACCAATCAGCAGCTCTGCTGTGATGTCACTGTTACCTTTCGGTACAACCAAAAAAAAAATAATTAAGGTTTTTTTTGGGTCCTTTGCTTGTTTACCATGCCAACCCTACGCGTTGAGGCGCTAGTCATTTTTTCCATTTGCCATTTTTTAGCGTCATACCCATTGTTCAAGGTACGGGAGAGTGCCGCTGGATGCAAGCAAATGTTGTTAAAAGACTCCATTATATATAATAGGTGAAAACCTTTCTGAAATAAAACATTTTTGACTTTGCGAGGGAGCTGAAGTACATGGAGAAAACCCAGGCATGTTTGGAAATGAGAAGATGGTACTTCAATCCCGGGTCTTGACATCAGACAGCAACTAACTGTAGCTATAAGGAATGCCACCGTGGATCCGGTATATCTTAAATTCTAGGTGAGATTTTGGCTTTTCTTCTATTTATACCAATAATTGAAAAATATTTAACTGTAGCAAAAACCTGAACTGATACGCTGTGTTTCAAGCACATAGGTACCAATTATTTTTGTTTACAGACACAAAATGAATCTAAGGGACTAAATGGTCGTCAGCAAAGGGTGCTTATTGGTACGAAAGTAAAGAGATCACTGGACAGTGATGGTACTCTGTAGGCAAGGATATCATTTTTTTTAATAAGGAACAACCTAACTTTGGGATTTCTGGGAACTCGATTAAAGAATAATGTTTCAAAGGTCCTTGAAATTTTCAGGCTGTCGGTTGAGGCTGTTTAAGGGGGAAAAGGGAATGATGTGGATCACATGACTGGTGGGGTTTCTCAAAGAGGCCTCCTAGCAGGCTGATTTTATCTTAATATTTATTTTCCTGTGGCCAAAAAACCCTTTTAATGGTTCAGAATTTCCATGATTTTTACTCTGTTAGCTTGTAGCGCTAAGATGTGACTTTGAATTTAGCTGAATGTAAAGTCACTGAAAGTGACACCTGCTCAAAAGATCATGGTCGAGAATAATATGGGACATAAGTGTCACAGCTTATGATACAATTACACATGTTTACTTTCTGTTACATTTCTGAGACTGAGTTTTATTGTATTTTGAAATATAAAGCACAATGTCATTTTATCAAGCTTTATTTAAATGGGTGTATTTATCCGGTACTAGGTCACATTGATCCTGCAGAGAGCAGCACATGTGCAGCTGATGCAGGAAGACATCACCAGGTCATGTGATCCTCATCATGGTCATGGACTTTTATTTTGTTCACCTGTCATGCTGTTGTTTTAGCTTATCTGGTCCTCTCAAGTTGATGTTTTTTCTGCTCTGTCACTTCAGACAGTTTCTATAGCAGAATTAAGACTAAAAAGTCAAATAGGTAACACAACTTGGGTTAAAAGCAGAGGGACAGCATTAATCACATCTAAATTTTAATTTTTTTTTTTAAGTTGTGGCTCCTCCTCTGTACCCAGACTGAAGCCATTTAAGCATCTGTATTTCTGATCCTTGTTACTATTTTGGTACTCAGCTGACCATGTGTGAGTGTGATTGTGAATATTTATTATTCTTAATATTACGATGGTTATTATTATTGTGTGTTTTTTGTGGAGCAGTTTTTTCTGACTTGCATGATCCAATTTGTTTGATGTTTTTCTTTGTGTCTGTAAAACTAAAACCTGGTAAACTGCACTAAGGATTAAAGGTTCACATTAAATGAATTGACTCGAGAGATTTAATCTCTTTTGGCTTCACATTTTTGTTACCAAATATACTTCGGTCTTCGCTCTGTTGCCACAATAACCAGGACTTCCTTTAATTTTTCATGGCTTTGTCTAAATGATCTGCTCATAAATGGATTTTTTTTAAACTGCTTCCAGATTTAGTAAAAACAGAAGTCAGCATTTTATTCACAAAATTAAAACAAACTAAAGATGTATATTTAGGATTAAACACATGATCTGGAACCACTAAAATATTAAGTTAAAATTTTTAATTTTGTGTGTATTCCTTTTTTTTTCCCCATATCTGCATTGTTCTAAACTCTGCTGCCCTCTGCTGGTGAAGCCTTACATTATGTGAGCCTTACAAGTTTTGCTCTAGAATTGGCCACACCTGTACAGCTGTTGGAGCCATATTGAATCCATGGTGGTTTGGGGACCTCCGATTTTGAATGTGAATCAGAACCTCGATGTTTTTCTATTCAATGTATGACTTTAAAATTTCTCAACTGAATACAATACGAAACTTATTTTCAGGGATATTTCAGTAGACATGCCTTTCCTTTGGTCCCTTTTTAAACTTCTATAATTTAGACTGAACATTTCCTTAAAAGTAACATCAAATGTACCTTGTGTAAAAATCACAAAAATGCTACTACCTGAAAAGACTTTGGTGTATTAACGAGGAAACATAATTGGTTATTTCTCTATATACAATCAGTTTGGATTTTAGTGAGCTAATAGACAAGAAAACAGATATTTTAGAGCAGTAAGAGAAGAAGCTGGCAGATCAGTGCCACACTGCAGTAAAAACTACCCTTTTATACTGTCTTTTAAAGTTTCTTTGCCTCAAAATGTTGGTGCTGTAAAGTGGAGATATTTAATTTTACTGAAAACGAAATTTCAAATCTTTTCCAGGCACCTTGGAATATATTCACAGCACTTCACATCTTATGCTGAAGTCTTCTTCTAAAATAGACCACATATATGTTTGCCTTAACATTCTGCTCCTAATTGCCCTGTTACGAAATTGTAGAAAGGTTGGTTTGAATTTGAGCAATGTGGGGGGCAGCAGAATGTGCATAAACCTTTGAAACGGTTGCATTTTGTTTTCTCTACCTAACCCCGTGTGTGTCAAACTGGTTCCAGAAAGGGCCGTGTGGCTGCAGGTTTTCTTTCCAACCAAACAATAGCACACCAGACACCAGTCATCTCATCAAGTGAGTCTAATCTGAACATGATAACTTGATGAGATGAAAGGAGTCTGGTGTGCTATTGTTTGGTTGGAAAGAAAACCTGCAGCCACACTGACTTTTCTGGAACCAGTTTGACACCCCTGCAAGTTTATGTTACTTTGGACGTTCTAGCTGTGGTGCTTGATGGGTCACGTTTTCTAGAGTCCTATTTTACCTTACATCAGAGCAGAAGCTAGAAACAGTCTATGAAGCTTGGATCCCAGACTTTGCTGTGACACAACCCCTGAATCCTCAATCATCATCTGGCTACCCCAACAACATGAGACCTAAACTCTGGACTTGAGCTAAAATGCCACTGCTCATCACCCAGCTAAAACCATCCCTATTGGAAAGTAAGGTGGTAGCAGTATCATGCTGTGAGGATCTTTTTCTTCAGCAGTAACTGGCTGTTGCAATCTGCATGGAAGGTAAGATAACAGGCAAGGCAAATGTAGAAAGACCTGATCCATTTTGCACGGATAAGAGAAACATGGCTCAGGAACAGTCTTGGTTTGCCTCAGAGTACTGCAGGTAAATTATGGACCTAAATTCAACTCAAAATATCTGAGGAAAAAATAAAAATGTCTTTCAATCCAATTTGGTTGGGGCTTGAGAGGATATAGTGACGACTGGTAGATAACTCGCAAAATCAAATCTGTTCAAAACCAGCAGAGACCAAGAGGACTTTAGGCTATTATTGCTAGCAAAGTGATTTTATCATTGGCCATTCATCATATTCTGTATGTATTTACATGCTTCTTCTGTCTTCTAACTCCTAACAAATTTCCCCCCAAAAATCTGGGAAAAAGTCCCTATTTCCCATCTTTTTACTATAATGTATGTTTTCTTATGCTTGTACAGTTGCAAGGTCGCTTCTTGTCTGAACAAACCAAAGACGTATAAAAAAAGGTTTCAATGATTTGCAAATCATTGCATTCTGTATTTATTTACATTTTATACAGCATCCCAGTTTTTTTAAAACAAGGCTGTAGCAGGCATAGCAGCAGAACATTAAACTTTACAGGACTGACAATGTTTTAGAGAACCATCATGAATCTAAAGTCACGTTATGTAATCTCTGAAAAATTAGCTGTTTGTGACAACGCTGAAATGTCAGGGATATCTTACAAAAACATGAATGATGGATCAGAAGAACTATTTTCCAGTTTTCAGGCGACGTTCCGGTGTTGTAACATTTTTTTTTTCCTGCTGATGTTTCAGATTTTTTTTTTTTCTAATCATTTTGTCGTCCCATGCAAAAACGTACAGCAGCAGACCTCCATGTTCCTGCATCTCAATGGAAACTGAGGTGACAGACTGAGTCTCCAGCTTCCTAATTTCGCCTCCTGTCACATGACTCAGAGGATCTATTGTGATTGGCTGGCAGCTAGAAGTCTTTTGGCCTCTCTTTTCAAAGCATCTTTTGCCGAACCCGTCCTGTCCTCTCCCCGTCGAGGGGTGGAGCCTCCCTCCGCCCGATGACTTCTTCATGACACTGGTACGTCATCATTGTGACATCATCATGCAGCATGCAGGAGCACAGGAGGATCACTGGACTCAGCGACCATTTGTCCCCTCCCACTCGCTCTTGGCCCGTTTAATGCGACGACACAGTCGGTCCCGTCTCCTGATGCTATGATTTGGCGCCTTCTGTCTCCTTGTTAGTCAGCGGGGCCAAAGCCGGGTCCACCAGTGAGGTGGCAGGAAACAGTTTAAACCAGCCAATCACCATGTTGGAGAGATCCAAATCATCCAACAGGATTTGAGCAGCTCCCATGAAGGATTTATGGTCCATCCGACCGTAGTCGCCCCAAACGATGATCTACAGTGACAAACAAATTCAACACCTGACATTTAAAGACATATTAGTGTTATTTTTAGCTATTTATTTTAATATTGCTTTTGATAGCAATAAGGATTTCTAGTCTGAAAAGAAATCATAGCAAAAAGAAATCACTTCAATCAACTCATGTAATTGTTCCAAATGATAATCTAATCAATGAAACCTGGTAATATAAGAGTATTTTACTGTGACTGACTGAACTGGAAGCTTTTTAATGGAAGTACATGTAAGGTAAAGAATCAGCAACAGGTTTTGTTTAGACCTTATTGTACAGCAATAAAAAACCTTTAAAATCTAAATATTCAAACATTGGTGTGGATTCCGATGTTTATTGCCGTTTGTAAATTATACACAGCAAATAATAAAAAATAAAAAATAAAGTGTCAGGTTCAACAGCATGACTTTTTTTTGGTAACAAGTCCAATTTTGTTGGCATGAATAAATGAGAGAAAAATGGCTTCCCTAAGAAGAACCGATACTGTGGACTTTCCCTCCCAAAAGCAGTCTAGAAATGGCGAACACAGAGGGTGCAGCACGTTCTGTATTGGTTCTTCTTAGGGAAGCTGCCGATCGAATAGATGAACTAGAAAGCTGTAAGTTTAATATCCGACGTGTTTTATGGTCTTTTGTTTAAAAGACCAAACCAGCGCATTCAGCTCGGCAAAGAACTCATGCTCTTCCTCAACACTGAAGTCCTCAGACATTTTTCTTTCGTTGTTTCTTTCTTTGCACAGGTAAACAGCACATTTCTTTTTCTACGCTTGCATTATTGGCAGAGCAGACGCTGAATGCGCACTTTCATCTGGTTTGGTGTGCCGGCTTCCGTAGCGTCGTAAACGCGCAGGCGCGCGCTTTCAGGAAATCCTATACACTACTGTTTATGCTCTAAAAACATTCTAAATGACTTCGTTTCGAGTAAATTCTGGATGCTACCCACTCAGGACACTTGGAATACATTGGACGAGCAGTATGGAGGAATATTGACACGTTTTTTGTGGACTTTTATGGACCTTTCTGTCTCGGGCACCATAGACCTCCATTATTTGAATGTCAGCAGACAGCAAGAAGCCTCCCAGATCTCCAGATGCATTTGAGATATCGAAAAAGTACTCCAGAGTGTTGTTCAGCATGGGGGTGAGTAGTGAAATGAAGGCTAATCATGTTTTGGGTGTACTATTCCTTTAATATACTAACAAAATGTCAAATTACTTTTAAGATTCAACTTGAGGGAATCACTGCTGCCACCCTCTGGTTTAGAGGGGAACTGCTTGTTTAGGAGGTGATGATCACCAGACTGCTAATAATCAATCCACATAAAGGTGTGAGTCAGCACTTTTACTATCATCAAGTCTTTACCCAGATATTTCCTCTGACGTCTTCATCCCAATTAAGAAAAAAATCAATTATCTCAACCTTATGAACTAACTTTGTGAGGTCAACAATTTGCTTTTATTATTTTCTTATTGATAGGTCGATTTATCAAGTGTTGCTGGAAACACCGGGTATTGCACGTGTGACTTTGCTGCAGATAACGGCGACTTTCTCCTGTGCCTTGTTCTTTTTTCTTTCTTTCCCACATATTGCTTTATTTTTAGCATAAATATGAATATTTAATTACCTACAAACCTGAATATAATAAAAAATTATGAATTATAAACATAAAACTACTAATGTTTTACTTATCATTATGGAACAAAACTGATTCTCTTCCTATCAACAATATCCAAACTAAGTATCATCCGCTTCATTTTTCATCTCTACATATTTGTGTTGAAAACCACATATTCTCGAGTAATTTTAGTTCTGAATGTGTTGGAGAGAAACCTTTGTTTGTTTTTTTTCACTGATTTTACCTGTAGCACTTTTCCTTCAGGATTTTCCTCAAACTGTAGCTGCTGCTGATAAAGTGGATCCAGAGTTTTTCTTGCCAGACGCGTCCTTCTCTTCAGCACGCATTTCCCATTATCCATTAAATACACCTTCACATACGGAGCTGCAACACAAGCAAACATCATCTTGTATTAGTTGGTTAAACGCACAAACAAAGCTCATCTGCATTAAAAATTATAGTATGTCTGACCTTTTATAATAAAATTGTGCTTTTCTATTTTTTTATGGCAACACCTTATGTAGAGCAAATATAGTCTCTTAATTAGGGGCACGAGAAACAGTGATAGTAGATCAAAAATTATTAAAACTGCTGATCCTGTCGAAATATGTACATCCTGATATTTTAGGTGAAGCATTTTTCCTTTTTTTTTCCTGTTTAGTAATGATATGCTTTTAGTTCTCACTTAACAGAATACTGGCATCACTTCATGATGATAAACATAGCAGAAAAATTGATAAAATAATATTTTTCCACAGTCTCTTTACCTAACCTATTTCTTTCAGCAAATAGACCTTTATTTTTACACCATATTATTTCTAGTTCTAGTAAACAATCAACCACATGGATGAGGAGCACCGTATAAACTTGAGTCCATTTAGCACTATTTGGATTTTATTTTATAAACCAACACAATTTTGTAGATCAAAGTGAAATTATTATTTTTTTTTAAGTAAATCTGAAACAACTGGAATCTGAACCTCTTTTCACTAAAATTAAAACTGTGTTCTGGTCTTGTCTCAACCAGATTTTTAAATGTAATTATTTCCTTTTTATGGTCAAATATTAAGCACCTAGTCTGACTGTACATAGAGCATCTACAAATGTTTATATAAACATTTTGCCCAATTTCCTGAAATTAATCTCTGGACTTTTCTAACGCATTTCATAAACTTTGATCGGATCCTTTCTACTGTAGATCTGGGTTCAGGTGAAGGAATCTTTCTCTTGTTGCTTTTTAATTTGTAAACATCACAATTTGGTGCAGCAAGGTGTGATTTTTACACCATTAGAAAATGTGAAGAATTTTATCACCTGGAGTGTTCTTATTGCCCTGTTTCCCAACAAGGCCCCGGGCCCGAATCACCTCCACGTCCAGCCGCTCCTTCCTGTAGACCATCCCAATCTGGATGTCCCCTGATCAACAGAGTGCCACAGGTGAGAGGGAGTCATTTAGCTCGCTTTAAAAATAAATCGATAAGGGAGTCATGCATATATGGCTGAATTACTACAATAAATAACATTTAGATACTGATTAATAATACCCATGGGGGGTGTGGCCAAAGTCTGTCGTCCAGCCAATTGGCCAGGACCTAATCCCTCCAGGAAGCCTGTGAACTGCTTATCTGATGCCAACTTGACTCCTGGGAATATCAGACTGACAAGATATAGAGAAAGGCAAACAGTTAATTGTTAATAAACAGCTAATAAACATTTTACACATTGTCGTATAACATTCAATTGGAAAAATTAAGAAAAAAAGGATAAAATGAGCTTGATAAAGAGGAAAAAAGAATAAAAAAAAAAAATAAAAGACTGAGACAGGTAGACTTCAAATTACAGTAAGTCATAACATCTTAAAATTAGGTATGGTTGTATTGAGTTCTTTTTTTTTTATTTAAGAGGACTGAAAAATTTAGGGATAAAGGAACCACAGAAACAAAAAGGAGGATTGAGCTAAAGTTCACATACGCTCCTGGTTTGGGATCCTCCGCATCTGGATCTCTGCTAGGCTGTCGGGTGAATCGGGACTTAAACTCGATGGCCAAACCAGTTTCTACGCTCCTCTGGACAGGAAGTCTAATCACCTTTTTCTTCTTCTCCTCCTCTGTAAAAGACACATGAATTGGATTTAAGACTAACCTAAATTAGATTTCCATTGTAACTAATCAATGGAGAAACATTATAACTTCTACAGAAACTGTAATAAAATAAAAGTGAAAGCAATTTTAAGGTTAAGTTAAAAACTACGATGACTGAAGACCTGCTGTTAACTGGAACCTGCTAAAACATCAGCGTCGTCATCCACATTGAAAACTGTTTTACACCGACATGGCCCTCTGTGGGGGCTGACTGAAAAAAAAAAACTCTTGCTAGAAAGTTGACACCTTCAAGTTCAGCTGAAGTCTGAAGCTCCCCACAAAGACAAGCAAATATTAGGTCTATCAAGAATATCATTGATTTGTTTTGCCACAAGAACAAAAGGAAACAACATTTAACAACTTTTAACAAACATTGAGGAGGTGGTGATGTCATGCTGTGTGGATCAAACATTTTTATGCTTGGACACAGTTGGGTTCTATTAGGACACGGATCCCAAACACACATATAAACCCGTTTTGGGCAGGAAAAAAATGGCAAACATTAAGTTTCTGGATTAAACTTAAGGTTATGTGTAATAAAGTGAAATGGCACAGGGAAAACCTTTATTTCAAGGTAAATTTTCTTATGTCAAGGGACATTTACAAATATGTATTTTGCAATATATGTAGGACATACATATACCTCAGGTATCAAATCACAGTGAAAATCATCTTGTGACCCCCCAGTTGTCTCCTGACCCCACTTTGGAACCCCTGCTTCAAAACCAGGAAGCAAACCATTTTCAATAAACTTCACCATTATAGGAACCAACTTTGCATGTTGATGCTGACAGAAAGAGTGCGTATTCTTGGCAAAATTAATCTTTAAAATGTATTTTCTGTTTTAATTTTTCTTGAGGATGGTAGATTAAACTGGACACTTAGACTGCTAAATTTTAGAATGAGCAAGATACATAGAGAAAGCATTACATAATTGATTTTAATGGAAACAGAGGTGTGCTTGAAATGTACAGTATAGTAGACATTAGTAGTATTATAACTGGTAGAAGATCAATTAAACAGGTGTACATAATCAGATATTATTCATAAAAAAAAAAAAAATCAAATGTTCCTAAAAAGATCCACCGGTTTGGATTAAGCACTGACTGGGACTGACCTTCTGGATTAAGCTGGGATGCGCTCTGACTCTTCTTTCCCAGTCCAACCATTCCCATCATCTTTGCCCCAAAGCTGGAGCGTCGCTTCTTGTCGTCATCATCGTCATCATTTCTTCCTAATGAGCAAATCTCTCCACCAACGCTAGAGGACTTTGTGAGGGTTGCACCGGCAGTAGGGGCCGCCCTGCATAAAAAAAATTATCACAGAAAATAAGTGGAGTAGACCTAAGGAGGAGGAGAGGAGCAAATACAAACCAGACAGTCAGGTGTAGCTGAGTGATAAGAGCACACCTGAGGTGAAAAAGCTAAACCCCAGCAGGAGGGAAGACGACTTGCAAAAGAAATGATTTCTATCCCCCTAAGTGTAGCAGTACATGAAGGGTATGTGCAGATGTCACTGTGTCTACTACTAGTACACCAGCGATGCAATAATTGGGTGGAGTCTGCAGACTGGAGAAACGGTGCTTTGTTCTTACTTTGCAGACTCAGCCTCCTTCTCTAGTCCCTCCTCCACCGACTCGCTCTTGTGAAGCGCTGCCTCACCCTCTGCTGCTTCTTCTAGCTCCTGAGCCCCCTCTGATTCTGCCCCCAGATCCACCGACTGGCCCTCCAAAGACTCCCCCTTACTTTTTTCGGCCAATCAGAAGACAGGATAGCAGCATGCAGATAAATGACATGCAAGAAGATGATAGATGAAAAACAGCAACAGGATGAACCAAAGAAAAAAAAAAAAAAAAAGCAACATGGACATGCAAACATTATCAAATGACATGCAGAAAATAAAGAAAACAAAACACACCAACACACACGTACAGCAGGCCGTAAATTTAAAAACATCCAGGCTATCATGTTGTCTCAGCCTTCAGCTCAACACTGCATAATCAGAGATCTGAGCCCCAATAACTATAATAGATCAGTTTATAAGACAAAGGTGGACCTGTTTCTAGACCAGCGTGTTTTGTCACACTACTATAAAACCACAACCATTAATGTATTACTTGGGGATGTTATTTGAATCAGAATAAACCCGTATTGAGCTGTTATGAGTAAAAAAAAAAATTAAAGAAGGAATTAGACTTCAGTTCCACTTTGAATCCAGTGAACAGACAATTTCAATATATAATGCATATAAAACTAGTGAAAATCAAAATGAGATATTTTTAAGTAAATATGATTTTATATACCAGTGTTTATAAATAAAGGGGGGATGAAATGGATGAATGTAATTAGGCGTAGTGTTGATTTTTAGCAGAGTAGCTTGGCATCCTGACTCCTAACTGTATATGTGAGAGGCAGCCTGGAAAAAGAAGTTCTGCGTGTGACGGATCATTTTTGCTCAAAGCATCAAAGAATGGCGACGGTCCAACCCAAAGCAGTAGGGCCACATTTTGGGAAATTCACTCGTAGCATGTTTGAATTAAAAATCAGTGTTGGGGATAACTCTTTACTTTTTTGGATAACGAAGTAGAGTAACATATTATACTTAAATTACTGATAATGAAATTACTTTATTAGACTATAGTAACAGCATTTCCTGCGTTACCTCAGGCCTGTATGCCGATGTGTTAGGTTCTGGTCACAAAGGCTGTGATCTGTAAGCCAGCTTTGGGATCGCTAGTAAGGTAACTTCATTACAATTTATAAAATTACTGAGCCAATTTGTCTTTTGCAGTATATGTGTATCTGCTTGTCTAAAATCTTTGATTATTCTTTATAAATCAGCTAAAATTGAGAGCATGTAAACATCCAGTTTTAAATCTTTTCAAAAGTTTTCATTTTCAGATTTATCTGATTTAATTTGGAGCACAACAGCTTTGACAAGCCTCCCTTTTCCTGGTGAACAGAAGCATCAAAGCATGACGGAACCACCACCCTTCTTTTTTGTGGGGTGGATTTGTTTGGGGTCATCTGCAGTATCCATAGTCGATCACTCTCTGGACCAAAAACCTCAGTTTTAGCCCTGTCTGACTGCAAAGAGAAGTTCTGTGGGATTTCTTCTTGAAACTCTTGCTCTCAGGACACAACCCTATACTTATTAAGGGACTTTTGAAGGGAATTGGTTGGATTGGATTAAAATACTAAGGGGCTGAATATGATCCTTTATGTCAAATCCCAATAAATTCTATCACAGCTTGTGCTGTAAGATCCTAGAAGATAAAAAGTTAAGAGATAAAGAGACTTTTCTAAAGCACTGAAACAGAAGTAATAATACAGAGCTGCTGTTGTCTTCAGATATGGCTGTTAAAGGGCAGGGTTCTCACCTGATTTTGAGCGCGGTTCTGGTTTCAGATGCATTGGACATGGCCGAAACATCACTGACGTCACTGTCCGATGATTTAAAAGACAGACTGTCCCTCATCTGGAGAGAGAAAACATTCAGACAGGCGAGTCAGGGACACGGTATTAAAGCAGCTGCTTTGGATTACACAAGAGTATTTTACCTTAGTGGGGTCCTTCATCACACCTGCAGAGACATAAAAAGATCATTAGTTTAATGCTGCAACTGGAAGCATGGACTCCTATCATTGTGTAGGAATGCTGCTAAAGAAAAAAGTAGTTGCCATGTTTGTGTGTGGATGGTCCTCCTGATTTGAAGGCACACATATATTTCTACCACAACAAGCAGGACTAAAACATTTTCTGGGACTAAAAATTCAAAAAATAAAAACAAAAGCTATGTCTGATATTACTGTAAGAAGCAAGATGTCAAATTACAGTTTATTTCTCCGTCTTTTTAACCAGACATTAAAACCAAGCTTTGGTTAGACGTCTGCTAGAACTAAAAACTTTTCTAAAACTGCACAAAACTGAAAATTCAGGTTGAAGTCTCAGCAGCTCAAACATAATCTATGAAGCAGAAAAAAATGGGATCTCTACCTTCTTTGCTCGCCGTTAAAACGTCTCCTTTAAGCACCAACAATCAGTGACAGCAAAAGGAGATCAACCATACAAGTTGATGAGGATAAAACAAACACTGACCAATGCATATTCATAAACACAGAGTTCCCCTCAGACAGCACAAGAACCGGCACTTGCAAACACCCTCACGGTGTACCTCAGAGCTCAGTTCTTGGTCCCATTTTACGGTAATATTAAAAACTGAATTTTGTGTTGTTTCTCTTTGAGAAACTTACAAGACACTGACATAAATATGAATAGAAGGATCATTTAATCTTTTAATATGTAGAGAAACAACAAATAACTCCTAAATGAATTCGATATTCACAAACAAATTATGACAATAACAACAACTCTACAAGCAAATAATAGCCCATGGATGTGAAATTCTCACACCCATTTCGTGACACACTGAGGTCCACGGTTAATGACAGGTTGTGAACATTGTATCATGTGACTCGCGAGAAATAAAAAAAAGAACATTTTAGCCAACAAAGTTATTGTTGGTGGTAACATGTCTAATACTGTTTCTCTAGGTTTATGGGTTAGAGTAAGTGATGGTTTATTGCTACTTTTTTTCTTCGTAGGTCGTGGAAAATTTCGCATAGTCCTGCCACAACCTGTCATACACCCTATGTGTCAAAAAATGACATTCAGGATTACCCTTGTCGTGTCAGTTCTTGACGCCACAGGGGCTTGACCAAGCGTCCACATTTCACTAATTCGAAGTGAGACTGTATTGCTGTACAGGAGGATGGAGAACGACTAAAGGAGCACCAACTAAAGCAAATCTAAATCCTCTCATGACCAACTTAAAACACACTCAAGCGACTAATGTCAAAACACATGATCTAGGCACTGTCGGTCTACACCTGGGGAAAGCTAAGTGGGTGCTGCTGTACCATTTGGTGTTTTCTTCTGCTGGTCCTCCCATGTGACTTCTGCATCATGCAGAAAAAGACACTCAATTGGTCAAACCAAGATGACACTCCCTTATCACTCAGGTGATCCCAACCCAAAGCTTATAACAGGAGCACCTAAACATCATCAGATCACCATGATGCTGGACTTGCCTTTTCTGGTCCCTCCAGGTGTAGCTGAGCGTCTCTCTGTATCAGATACATGCAGACGTGATGTGATGATGTAAAAAACAGTCAGATGAATCAGTAAATGAATTATTAAATGAAGGAGGGACACTGAATGAACAGGTCAGTAGTACACACCTGGAGTCTGAGGGGGCGGGGCTGGTGAGGGTGCTGGGGACGGGGCGGGTGTAGGTGTTGGGGCAGGTGTAGGCAGCGGGGTTGGTTCAGGAGGTGGCTGGGGTTGGACAACAGGAGGCGGAGGCTGAACAGGAGCAGGAGGAGGAGGGGGGGCTGGGGTCGCTGCAGGGGTCGGGACAGAAATGGGGGCATTTAAAGGTGCTGCTGGGGCTGCGGGTGCTGGGGAAGGGGCAGGTCTAGGGCCGAGGGCATGAGGAGGACAAGATGTGGGTGGAGGCACAGATGGGCGTATGAGTTGGGGTGTGAGTCCAGGCACAGGTGCGCGTACTGGTGGGGGTGCAGGTGAAGGAGTTGGATGCATAGGGTGGGAGGAAGGTGGATGAGCTGGGGGTCCCTGAATTCGTATAAGGGGAGGCTGTTGGTGATTGACTAGAGAAGATATCTGTTTCTGAATGGGGGGAGTGATTTCATGAGGAGGAGGGGGTGGGGCGGCTGATTGTGGTCCTGAAGTTGTTGTGGCCGAAACTGATGAGAAGCAGCACGGTTTGGAGACGGGGAACAAAAAGATGATCAGAAAAACATGAAAGGTAACAACAAGAGTATGAATGCAAACATGCTCAGATTCAGAGACCACCTAATCACATGACTAGTAGACGGCGAGAAGGCAACACGTAAGGCAGGTGGCAGAACTGGCTCCACATAATTTCCACTAAACAAACTGTTACCGTATTACCGGGCATCAGATCCACACGCTGCTAACAGAGAGCAAATCAATGACACACCTGCTAAGCCCAGATATACCCACAAGGAGTGTTTTCACACACATCTTAATCTGTTTCCACCAATAAACGCTTTAACCCTGCATGTATCAACAACTGAAGCTACGACACAATTAAACGTAAAATATACAGAGGATGGCTCTATTTCTAAGGTAGACAATAGTCAGGTGCACAAGTCAGTACCTGTCTGTACAGAGTCAAAAGGTTCTCCATCTGAAAGAAACAACTCAGCGTTAGACTCCTACAACCTCCATCAGCAGGTTCAGCTGAAGCGTCAAAGGAGCCGAAAACCAACAAGCAGAAAAAAAGAACTAGGCATGCTACCAGCCTTACAAGTTCTATATGATTATGTTCTATTTTTTGTCCAAAAGGTAATAAATTCCCTGACAGTTAAACGTTGTCTTTTTAATGAAATAATTTAATTTCACAAAGTAGAAAAGCACAGAAAACGAACTGAGCCTCATAAAAAGTTTTTTTTTCTTTTTTTTTCTTTTTAGACACAAAACTATGAACATGTACTGAAGAAGATTTGGACTATAATTCACTAACATTTGAATTTTTCCCCCACAATTATGATTTTAAAATATGGACTCAGAACAAAAATTCTCACATTTCTTCTCATCATTCTATCTTTTTTCTTAGAATTCTGTAAATAAAACTGAAAACTATACCTAAAAAGGAAGATTTATAGAAAATATTTTTCTCTACCATGACCCTTAAAATTGTTGGCAAAACAGTCAAAATTAAGTCAAATAAAAGGAAAAACTTGGAAGATTAATTCCTGTCAAAAAAAGTGCTGTGCCAATTTTTACACACAGAAAATATTAATAAAAAACCTTTATTGTAACTCAGACAATGAACAATATTGCAAAACCAGAACATTAAACCCAAGGTTGTCAGTGTCTTACTTTGCATGAAAACAGAAATCACTGCAAATATTTTGACCAATATGTTGATTATCTTAAATAATCTTACATTTGAAACTTTTTTCTAAATGTTTTATTTATTACAGTACATCAAGTATTGTAGCATTTATTTTTAATTTATATTTATAGTATTGATCTGGTTATATTGAACTGATCTGATTATGTATATATCTTACACTGCATAAAATGTCCTGAGGAACTTGAACTGATGCTGTGATGAAGCTAAATGAATGGTGGTCACAGCTTTTTTTTATTTATAGCAAACATACTTCGATCAAGAGCTCCTTTTGGCGGGACAACAGGAAGCTGGCGTCCTCGCCGAGGGAAGACTGTGGTTCCGGTCGGACTGGTCATGTTGGATCCAACGCGGGCGTTCGCCCTGTTAGAAAATAAATAAAAACAAAATATTGAAAAAACCTTAAATCAAACCGAAAAACAACAGCAACAAAAAAAAAAAAAAAAAAAAACCCAGAAAGAAAATAAGTCAAATGAGTCAGAAAGTCAGAGTTTCTAAAAACATAATTTCAAGGCTTTTGTTTACGTTATGAAGATTTGGGCTGGTACTGAAAAACAAGCTACTGGATCCAGATGAACGATCTTCAGTCACACCATTAATGAACAATCACTTTAAAACCTAATGCCAGCGGCATGATAGGGAGGTCTTAATGTATCATGTGGGATCATGTCCTCTGTGACCAGATCAAGTATGGCATCAATATTTATTTAAACCTACTGGAATAAATACAACGTTTAAATAAATGTATCTTTTAATACAATAACACAAGAGATGATACATTGATTTTATAATCTAGTCTTTATATTGATGACATTTGTTCAGTTTATTCAATTTTGTTAGATACTATATTTTTTGTAGCTTTTAAAATAATATATTTTTCCTACTATAGCATATTTAATTTATTGTAGGAAAATTCCAATTATATAAATATCAAGAAAACATTTTTGTAATTCATACCATAATTTGAAAATTAATGAGTGAGATAATGTATATTCATTTTATTATATAATACGATGTAGTATTAGTTGTTTTTTATCATATAAATGCCCAACTAAGATTAATAGTAGCGTAACTATTATTATTATTGTCACATAACTTTTCATTTAAGTAAATCTACAAAACAAAGACATAAAAATGTCAGTTAAGTCAAATCTAAACTGAAATTTTAACTGGAACAGTTAGCTTTGGTTAGTTGCAACAGAAATATAGATATTAGGCTAAAAGAGCAAAAAGATATTTTAAACAGAGTAAAAAAAAGCTCTAAAATCCCAATGCTAAGCATAGGGGAGGAAGTGTTCTTTTTTACCAATATACATATCATACATAAACCCATAAAGTCATGGTAACATGAACTCAATAAATTGAGTGTAGAAAATAAAATAAAATAAAAATGTTTTTCTTCGAAACTCTGCAAAATATTGATCTGAAGATCAGGTTAAAAAAAGCAGAGGTTGTACAAACACAAAGCCAGCCTCTATGGCCATGTAAGTCCCTTTGACCTTAATCCTATAGAGAAGCCATGTATTGAACTGCAAAGCATCTATAACAGAGGACCTAGGACTCCAGATAATCTAGAGAGATTGTGTAATACACTGGTGATTTTCCTTAAATTCTTAATGTAGGATTTTTACCCTCGCAGTGTTAACATTCTCAGAATAAAGATTATTGATTTTTTCTAAACTTAGGCTGCAATAATGAGTACAAATTTATATTTTATCCTCTTTACACATGTCGGTGATTCCACCTAAAGCTAAAGAGGTGGGCAGCAGAATGATAAAGCAAAATATGTTTACTCAGGGTACATGCAACACAACCGTCAAACCAACCAAAAAGAAAGGAAAACAAAAAAACATGCAGAACAACATGCTGCAAAAAATTCAGTAGCCAGACATGCAACAAAAACAAAGCAAGTTAAAACAGTTGGTTAGTGGTGGGATGATACAAATGAAACAAGGCTTGTGATAAAAAGAAAAAAGATGTTATAGGTTTTGAGCCAGACTCCATGCTCCAAAAAATACTTAGAAAAACACCATGGAGTTTGATCGGTCTCCTGATTGGTCGGCTGCAGGTCACCTGATTAGTGCAGGTGAAGGGGGGGCAGAGCGGCCAGACCTAAAGTAGGAGGAGTCAGCTCGGTCTGTGGAGTGAGACCGCTCATACACGGGTCTGTCGGCCATGGCCCGCTGGTCTGCAGAGCGAGAGCGGCTGTAGTAATCCTTCCGATCCATCCCCCTGCTGTACCTGTGTATTACCATGACAACTGTCACCTACTGTCACTATGACAACCACTGTATCTGGGGAAGCAGGTTAGTCGGTTGTTCTGGCGCCTGTGGATCTGAAAATTTACAGGTGCTGGTCATAAAATTAGAATATCATGAAAAAGTAGATTGATTTCAGTAATTCCATTTAAAAAGTGAAACTTGTATATTATATTCATACATTACATACAAACTCATATATTTCAGATGTTTATTTTGTTTAATTTTGATGATTACAAATGACAACAAATGAAAATCTCAAATTCATCATATCAGAAAATTAGAAGATTGTGAAAAGGTTCAAAATTGATGGCCCCTGGTGCCACACTCTAATCAGCTAATTAACTCAAACCACCTGCAAAAGCCTTTAAATGGTCTTTCAGTCTAGTTCTATAGGCTACACAATCATGGGGAAGACTGCTGACTTGACAGTTGTCCAAAAGACGACCATCGACACCTTGCACAAGGAGGGCAAGACACAAAAGGTCATCGCTAAAGAGGCTGGCTGTTCACAGAGCTCAGTGTCCAAGCACATTAATAGAGAGGCGAAGGGAAGGAAAAGATGTGGTCGAAAAAAGTGTACAAGCAAGAGAGATAACTGCACCCTGGAGAGGATTGTGAAACAAAACCCCTTCAAAAATGTGGGGGAGATTCACAAAGAGTGGACTGCAGCTGGAGTGAGTGCTTCAAGAACCACCACACACAGACGTATGAAAGACATGGGTTTCTGCTGTCGCATTCCTTGTGTCAAGCCACTCTTGAACCACAGACAGCGTCAGAAGCGTCTTGCCTGGGCTAAAGAGAAACAGGACTGGACTGCTGGTGAGTGGTCCAAAGTCATGTTCTCTGATGAAAGTAAATTTTGCATTTCCTTTGGAAATCAAGGTCCCAGAGTCTGGAGGAAAAGAAGAGAGGCACTTCATCCACGTTGCTTGAAGTCCAGTGTAAAGTTTCCACAGTCAGTGATGGTTTGGGGTGCCATGTCATCTGCTGGTGTTGGTCCATTGTGTTTTCTGAGGTCCAGGGTCAACGCAGCCACATACCAGGAAGTTTTAGAGCACTTCATGCTTCCTGCAGCTGCCCAACTTTTTGGAGATGCAGATTTCATTTTCCAACAGGACTTGGCACCTGCACACAGTGCCAAAGCTACCAGTACCTGGTTGAAGGACCATGGTATCCCTGTTCTTAATTGGCCAGCAAACTCTCCTGACCTTAACCCCATAGAAAATCTATGGGGTATTGTGAAGAAGAAGATGCAATACACCAGACCCAACAATTCAGAAGAGCTAAAAGCCACTATTAGAGCAACCTGGGCTATCATAACACCTGAGCAGTGCCACAGACTGATCGACTCCATGCCACGCCGCATTGCTGCAGTAATACAGGCCAAAGGAGGCCCAACTAAATACTGAGTGCTGTACATGCTCATACTTTTCATGTTCATACTTTTCAGTTGGCCAACATTTCTATAAATCCTTTGTTTTTATTGGTCTTCAGTAATATTCTAATTTTCTGATATGATGAATTTGAGATTTTCATTTGTTGTCATTTGTAATCATCAAAATTAAACAAAATAAACATCTGAAATATATGAGTTTGTATGTAATGTATGAATATAATATACAAGTTTCACTTTTTAAATGGAATTACTGAAATCAATCTACTTTTTCATGATATTCTAATTTTATGACCAGCACCTGTAAAGGCATCGTCTGCAGGAGTTTAAACAATAAAAACAGAAAAATATTTGGCAGAAAATTTCCTGTAAAGTCTGAAAGAGAAGTAAGCAAAGACAGAACAGGGTTGGAAAGATTTGGCCTGTAATAGGAAAAAATATCTGTCAGAGTTACAGAGAGGAAGGGAAAATGTCAAGAGTTTAGCGAGTCCCAGATATTTACAGAAGGACTACCAAAAAGGAGAAGAATAATGTCTGCATTGCCAATCTATTCTCTACATCTACAACTACGTCCGTTTACCTTAGCAGCTCCTCATCATAAGCATCTGGCTCAAAGGGAAAGTCTGGGATGAAGTCCTGACTGAAGAGCAGAAGAACATCAAAACCCGAAGCATTCAATTTCTCAATCTCTGACTATTTTCCACAATATAGGTGCAGCTCAGTAAATTAGAATATCATCAAGAAGATCATTTCTTTAAATTTTTTTTTATTTTATGCAGAGTGATTTATTGTAAGCGTTAATTTTTGTTCATTATAAAAATATGATTTAGAAGACTAAACATTTTTGCTAAATTTCTCTGACACATTAAAAGTTTTTAATATAGAAATATGCTCATAGCTGAGATCATGAAAATAAAGTTCATGGTCAGGTCTCCTTTTTGGATTAACTCCGCCTTAAAGATCGATCAACATGTGGCACTGCTGATATCTTCCAGGTCTGTTGTCGCTCATCTACTTCTTGACAGATTAGGTTTGATAAGTTTGGTAGTCAATCAAGAACAGGAGCTAAGGTTTAAACATTAGATCAGCATGTAAGACTGAAGCATGATGTCCATTCAAATATCCTGGTAGATGACTAAGTTGACTGTGGTCTTTATATAACAGTGGACCAACATCAGCAGCACCAGAAAACATCTGTCAGAGAGAAAATGTCTCTTTTCTTCCACCAACATGGATTCTCTGCCTTTCCCCTCTTCCCCTAGAATCTAGGACGTTGATTTCCAAATAAAATTCAAAATATACTTTCATATTAAAAGAGGCTTTTAGTCGCCTGATCGGCTGTATAATCCTTGTTCTCCTCAGCCCAGAGAAGGCATTTCTGATCCATGTGTGGCAGCAGTTGCAGCTGATGTCCTGTAGACATCAGGATGTGGTGTCCTTCTAATCACGGAGTCCACCTACAGGCCACACCTTCTTCATCTTTTCCAAACCCTTAGAAGGGCTTTAATTTTCAATATTTTCTCTGTTCCAATCATCCCTATTACTTGTGTGCCCTTTATTAACAATATTATTAACAATTATTTTTCCTTCCACTAAGCTTTCCTTTAAAATATTTGGATACATACAGCACATGAACAGCCAGATTTGTAAGCACTGGTATTTTAGGACTAAAATACTTCAAATATATCACTCTGTGTGTAATCAATCAACAGTATTTTAGATTTTCATGTTTGAATTGATTTAAATTAATTTACAGAGCTGTACCTGTATGTTACCCATGTCTACCAAAGCTTACCTGTAATCCTCACCACCCCCATTCATTACATGGTTTGTCCAGGTCTGTTGTGGACCATTAAAGTATCTTACATGCAGAAAAGCATATTGCTGGTTACATGTTTATCCTTTTTATGTAATTACTGTTATTGCTGGCACTACAACTACAACTAGTGACTACAGCGGTACCTGTCGTAGGAATCAAGAGAGTTGGCAACAGACATTCTCCTCAGGTGTCGCCTGAACAGAGAGAAGGAGGCTTTAAGTTTAAATGTGCAGCTGTTCCCTAGTCAGAGGCGCAGACTTTGTATCAACATTTTTACTGGTATTAAAACTTAGCAAAACAGTTATTTTGTCCTAACAGGCAGGAAGCTGATAAGCTTCAAGTGCACGCAGAGTTGGAAGACTAAGGGGTTCCAATCCTATGCCAGTGGTGTGAAGCTAGAAACTAGAACTAAAAGCAGAGCCAACTGCAGGTGCTAATGTGATGGTGTAATTTATGAGCAAAACCTTTTAATTGATCAGCTCTAACACCACATCCAGTTCAGACCTGGGTCCCGGTTCATGTCCATCTTTGCCTTTTATGTTTTACTAGACCAGCATTAGCAGCATTTGGGGTTTAATCAGACCCAGACTCACCTTCTGCTAACTGATTGGATTCAGCTTCCTCACTGATTTAATAATTGAGATACTCAGAGCATAAATGTTCAGATTAGCAGGAACCTAACCTCTACCCAGTGACCCAGGTCAGATGTGCTAGCCGTGTTCACCATGGTTACCTGTCGAGACTGCTATACTGAGTGGCGTCAGAGTACGCGCGATTCAGTTTGGAGCCTCGCAGCAGCCGCACTGCATCCTCCCGGTACAACGGATACAGAGGGTTACCGCTGGCAACAGGAGGCCAACGATCAGAAGTTAAGGGCCACAGAAGAAGAGGAAAAGGGTTTGGTAAAAAATAAGGGATTTCCTTCTAACAACAAAATGCATACTCTAACAAATAAAAGGTTAAAATTTTGATTTTAACTCCAAAAAGAAATCTCCCCTGAAACTAGAGCCTTTATCTGAGATAACAGTCTCAGTGAGTTCAGTCTAACTAGCCTGAATTATATCAAACTGTACCTTTGTGGAGGAGGTTGACTTGGCGACCGGGACCTCCTAACCAGCTCAGATCGAGAGCAATGATTGGACGAGATCACCTGTTCGGGCACTGAAAGGGTGGAGCTGTGGAAGTCCCGCCCATTTTGTCTGTAATCTGCATGGAGAAAAATAAAAAAGGGATGATTTGTATACATGGATGTTTTAGGGCCTAATTTAAAACCCATCTCAAACTTTTTAAGAGCAGTGAGGTTTTTTTTTTTTTTTTTACCACAATGTGATTTTATTAAAATGTTTCACATTGTTTTAGACTTTGTTTTATTGTATTTTACCTGTCTTGTAATTTATTATATTTTAGTATGTCCTTGTGATGTTGTAAGTAAAGTTAGTAAGTCAGGTTTTTGGTAAAACACACTTACTTTTTACCTAATTTTAAGTAAAGTGAGTAGACTTTATTTTTTACAGTGACTGCCCTATAGAAATAAACTTAACTTACCTATTTAAATATATAGGCTTTAACGATGTGCGTGCAGTCAACCTACAAATTGCCTAAAAAAAGTTGTTTTCATATATTATATGCTGTTTCTTTTAATATTGAATTTTAGCTTTCATATATATGCAGATTCTGCTGTATTCACATCCTATCAGGTAATATATAACCTTTAAACAATCTTAACCTTGAATGCAAAAGATGTTTTCCTATTACTTGAGTTTTAGAAAATTATGTCTATCACTACTCCTTATGATTCAGTTTAACATTAATTTAATGTTAAAATTAAAATATTAAGATATTTGACCTCAAGTCTATCTACCTTTTCCCCCCTTTATATTTCCTCAGCAGTTAGTTCACGTAGTTAGTTGGGATTGACTTAATCAAAGGCTTGTACTAAGTTATTGAAAAATGAAATTTTATATTAATCTGTGCACTTATGAAAAAAGCTTTAAAATCCGATGCATAGGAAACGAATGGTGTCTATGATTTTGATTTTTTGATTTGTTGTGAAGTTGTTAAGAACAGTCTTGGAAATAAGTATATCGATATAGTAAAATTTACAAATTGCAAATAATTTAAAAACATAACTCAAGTATTAGGAGAATTCAAACACTTTTCCACTGATGCATTTTAATTTTATTTATTATTATACTTCAGATCACTTTTCTTTTAAAGATTTGCAAAAATAATCCCAATAGCAGAATAAAAGAAAAAAAAAAAGGTTATTCTCCAAAGCAGGTTAAAGTGCACTATGGGAAATCTGGGTTTACCTGAGATCACACCGATGCCATCCTCACAGTCGTAATCTGAAAACTCGCTGTCACTGATCCTCTGTGATCCTAAACACACAAAGACGGCCAAGCAGAAAAAAAAGAGACTGAGAAAAAGGATCCTTGAGGTTAAAGGTTGAAAACAATAACTCGACTGGCGGATCATCTTATTTAACTACTCAATTTGAGGGTAAATATTAAATCATTTTTAGATCGTTTTTGCGGAATACAATACAACTTAATTTGTTTTTCCATCAAAAATGGACACTGAACCCTTCAAGGATCATATGCCACTTGAATGCATCAAAAAGTTTCTTCAGCTTTGAAGTAATTCAGAGAATCACAGCAAAGACCTGTGAGACTAATGAATAATTGCAGAACATTTAAATATCTCAGATATTAATTGATCAAACTTCATTAGGATCATGAGGTGAGCTAAAAGCATATCAAATATTTTACCTTTAAAGTTTGACATCTAAAAATCTCTAACAGAATCACCAACAATCCCAGTGCCGTAAACCTTTTGGAAAACTCATCAGAGATCTTTTTCTCAGGAGACCCCCATGGAGTATGAATTATGAGCAATTAAAAGTGAGCAATTCAAAGTGTATTTAAGAATTATGATGCCATGTCCCCAAACCAAAATATTTTCCTCACAGAGTTCAGAGTGGATTTAAAAAAAATTAAAACTTTTAAAGCTTTCCAGATTTTTTTGGCAAAACTTTTACCTGTTGTATTTTATTTTCTACATAATCTCCATTGTTTTATAATTTAACATCAGTATAGATCCTGTTGTTCTTTGAAAGCCTCCGACAACATCAGTGACCAAAAGGCATCATTGAGGCCAAGGAAAACAGCAGAGATGTCGGGGAGAAATATGTGGAGAAGCTTTGAACATCTAAAAGAAGGGAGTTCATTTATAATCTGAAAGTGGAAAATGAATGGAACAACTATAAACCTAACAAAACATGGCTGCCCATATAGAATGAGAGACGGAATAGGAGCATATCAGCTGAACGCTGAATGATAACAAGCCGTTGATTAAAGGAAGCCGTGTAATGTCGCCTTTGGAGTTTCCTTTAAAAAATTGAAGAAACAAAACCATTTTAGAAAAAGGTGCTCTTCTTGGATGAGACCCAGGTGGAAATATTTCGGGCTAAATAAAAAAAGCTGCAAGAAGCACAATCAAAAGGCTTGTAGCTGCATTTGCAGCAAACAGCTTTTACAGAGTATCGACTCAGACAGGCTGAGTTTAAATGCAGCTCACACTTTTTCAGATTTCGATTTTCACAAAATAAATAAAAAACACAATTTTATTTCCTCCACTTTGAACATTTTCACTGTTTTAAGTTAATCAGCCACTGAGAATCTTAATAAAATTCACCAAAACTCTGTGCCTCAGTCACTCGGGACATGGCAACCTGGAATAGAATAAGTGATGTGCATCCTACTCTGTCAGCGCTTTATAAACTTTAATAAATATTCCGCTGTTTTCAAAAGCTGTTTCAAACTAAATGTAGATCATTCTGAATGAGTTCCCTCAAATCTGAGAAATGCAGCGGAGAACCTCAAAACCTCAATAAAATAATCTTGAGCGTCAATTGGAAATCAGTTATGCATTTAAATATGACCAGTATATCAGTAAGAACTTTCAGAACTCCCAACAGATTATTTTGAGCAACTTTTAATGTGTAAATCTGTGAAGATTTGAGTAACGCAACAGATTTTATTCAAGACCTATTAAGATATTTTTTAACAGAGCACTAGAGACTGAATAGTTAAATGTTTTACAGACAGAATTATACTTTGTTAATCTTGATTGTGGTTTCCTGGATGCAGTCAATAAGTGCTCCTGCTTCTTTTTCTCAAGACGAATTTAACTTTTAAGGCTCTGTACCAATAATTTTTTTTTTTTTTTACAGTGCAGCAGTTTGAGGTGCCAAGATGGTAAGAAAACACAGATACTTTGCAGCTCTCCTGACCAAAAATCTCTATATAGTATGTCCTACAACAGGGGGTTTATAAACAGCTTGTTACTGGGTCTCTGTCTAACATTAAGTAAAGCTGAAGAGGTCATTTAGATGTTTGATTTAATCTTTTTAGATCAGGGATGCATCTAAAAGTTGCAGAACTTGTGCTCCTGAGGCCTGGAGTTGGACACCTCAGCCACACCTCACCTCATTGCACAGAAATGTTCCACATAATCGATGAGTTAACAGACAGAATGCAACAAAATACACAAACGCACACACACAGGTATATTTACCTGAGTTAAAGTAAGGACCTTTATCTGTTAAAGCATCATAAACGATGAAAGAAAAAGAAAAGCATGTTAAGAAAACAACATGATGGAATAAAAAAACAAAAGAAAACAGGCATATAAGAAAATAGATAAAAATCTATCAATATGAAGCAATAAAGCTGAAAAAAATTATGAGACGGAGTGAAAGTCGGTGTGTTGCTGTTGTTTAACTCACTCTGAAGCCTCCTGCTGCTCTGGGAGGGCTCCGCCTGCAGCCCCCTCCTCTGCAGGTAGGGGGAGGCATTGGGCAGCGGCACAGAGGAAACATCATGAAGCTGCAGCTTGTACCAGTGAGGCTGATCATCCAGCAGCGCAGACTCCAGCTCTATCAGGACCTGATGACAGAACATACGCAACGTGATGAGAGCATTCCTAGAAGAGCCTTTCCAAGTTATCCCCTTGTTCTCACCTCTCCCAGGAACTGGCTTTCCTCTTCTCGGACCCTGGCCTGGTCCCAGACAGTTAGCTCCAACATGCGTTCTCTGAACTCACGCCGGTGCACCGGGGAATACATGAAGGTCTGATTCCAGCGAGGTTCCAGAGACTTCTTCACTGTCTTTGTCCTGCGTTTACTCTTATCACTGCAACGGCAGGAACATGACATTGATTAAAACACAAAACAGAGAGACCTCAGTTTGAATATTTATTCCATCTTTCTACCTTCTGTCCGGCAGAAAGTAGATCTTGACGTATGGGTTCCTCGGTCGTCCATCATCCCGAACAGGAAGTTCTTTAGCTCCAAGGACCGTGACGATCAGCTGATGACCAACTTTGTCATACCACAGCTTGATCTGCATACAAACAAATATACCAAAGCAGACACTTTAGAGCAAAGAAGTATATTCATAGAACAGCAGTGGAACCATATAAACACCAGACAGACACTTCAGCAGGAACTCTCTGCAGTGCAACGATTTGATCCATACACTGCTACATGAGGGAGCTATTGAACTAAAATAAAAAAAACACAAAAGACAAGCTACGACACCTGATTAAACTGTTACATAACATTCACAAGCAGAAACAATGGCAAACAGCAGCAGCTAAAAACTACTTTTTATAATCTCTAAATTGGTTCGTCAGATACTTGGGTGCAGGACAGAAAAAATAATCACCTGTTTCACCTGGATTATATGTGTTACACATGGGCTGGTTGTTAAATTCTTTTAGGCATAAATTACTGAAATAAAGTTGACGAAACATATATTAGGGTAAATTAAGGTTTACAAAAGTGTTCCCAACTTTTCATATCTCATGTTAACACATGCTGACCAATCTGTGTATAGCTATGCTAAAGTTTGCTAAAGTTTGCGCTTGGTTAGAAAGAATGGGTGAATGTTGATTTAACACCAAGTGCTTTGATTAAGGTGTCTAGAAAAGTTCTGTATAAATTCTGTCCAATTTATGAAGGAGCAACACAACAAGGTGTTACACAATATGGAGGTACTATAAAGATAAATTGTTTTCATCATTTCTTATGAAGATCTAAAAAGTCTAGCCTTTTTTTTTTTTTATCTATTTTAAACAATGATTTGGTGCCAAAGTGCAGCAGTCGCTGGGGAGAAGCAGGATACACTCTAGACAGGACAGCAGTACATCACAGGGCAAAAAGAGGCGTAAAGGACAGAAATCACATACTTTCACCTAAAAGACTATTTAAAGTAACCAGTAAACCTATCAGTAATGCTTTTCGATTGTTTGAGGAAGCAGGAGTACCCAGAAAAACATAGCATCTTTTTGATAATAATAATAATTGAACTTCATTGATCTCGCATTGGAGAAATTCTCTCTCTGCATTTAGATTAGATTAGATTCAACTTTAACCCATCCCCTTGGGGAGCAGTGGGCTGCTATTGTGCAGCAACCGGGGAGCAGTGTGGGGATAAGGGTCTTGCTCAGGGTCCCAGATTGGCAGTCTGTGGGAGTGCGGCTCAAACTCAGAACCTTAGGATTCCAAGCACAATGCCCCAACCACTAGGCCACCACTCCCCCTAAAGAAAACAAACTAGAATCCAAACCAAGAAGCTTTTCGAATGATATAATAGTAGGCTACCAAAAAAACTACACCACCAAGCGACGGGAAAATTAGTACTGATTTTCTGAGCAACCTCTGATCGACCACAGTATAGAATATTAACCTTTTAGAACAACCAAAAGTCAACTGGATTTGAAATAACTGAACGTGAAAAACGATTCCAAAAGGAAATCCTGTCATGCTTATAGGTCAAAGGTCAATAAATCTGTCTTCGAACAATAAAAAGATAACACAAATTTGGAAACCTTGTTTCGTACAACTATGACAACAGCTACATTATATCTGAAGCCTAACAGACTCAAACTAATCTAAAGAACAAACATAATGTAAACTCTAACTCCCTTCTACAGGTTACCTGAATCCTGGGAACCAGAGGACATCTGTTTACACTCTGTAAACACATCACCATGGAGACCGCAGTTAAGTGACAGATTACTGACTGTGAGGCCAGAGATATTAGCTGAACTTACAGAGACTTGTCCTGATAGAACGCTGGGGCTCATTGGAGACGTGACGGAGATAGACGGGCCAACTTTCTGAGAGTCGAAGGAACTGGAGCCTTGGACAGAAAACACAAAGATCTGTTTCACTGCTTTATCCAACAAAGTCACAGACTACATTGTTCATATTTAACAAGTATGTACCTTTTCTTCTAGGCATAAAACTTTCCTTTCTGATAAAGCTTATGATCTGAGTGGCTCAGGTTATCCTGAGCTATCTATGTAATTAGAAATAGAAAATCCATTTAGTGCCCCAGAATGGGGAATTTTTGCTGCTAGAGGCTTAGACTGCTGGAAAACATGAGGGACATTTTTCCTCATTCTGCTTCATTCTATCTCTATTGTACCATTCTGCAATATTTGTTAGTTTAACCTCTAACTTTATGCTCTTTCTTCTTTAAAATCATCAGACACATTAACAGTTTCTAAATGAACAAAAGCCATTATTGGAACCACTAGTGTCAGATTTAAGAACGTATTAAGCCCCACTTTAAGGAGGGGAGCTTTAGGAAGTTTTATGTGTTCTGTGATTTTGATGGTATTCATTGTTTGCATGGGTAAAAACTCACTAGAGTCCAGGTGAACACTGGAGGCATCAGCTGCTCTTGAAACATCTCTGCTGGAGCAAGAACCAACACATATCTGTGAACATCATCTTCTCATAAAACAGAATTTGAGGTTTGACATGTTCTCAGAAGAACAATCTGCATGTTTACCATGAAGACCAAATTTTTACTAAGACTCACCGAATCGGTCTGCAAACCACGAGCTCCACCTGCGGTTCTGGTTTGGACTCCATGATGATGTCGTAGACCTCATTGAACGTGGCTCCTTGAAGTACCCGACCGTTCCACTCCAGAACCTGATCACCTAAGGACAGAGAGAGTGATGAAACTCAAACCAGAAACAAAATCACGACATACCTCAGAGTTAGGGTTATCATTGCATTAAGTGAATTAGCCAAATCAAATAACACCAATTAACCCAAAAAACATAATGTAAGCTTTTTACAAAATGAAAGTGGAATAAAGGTTGGATTAATGATTCTTTGAAGGAAATATTTACAAAATTTACAAAAAAATAAATAAATAAACACAACCATTTCATTCAACCCCTCTAAACCCCTACCCAAAATAAATACTTTGTCTTATCATATTCTGCTGCAGTGAAATCTTTCACAGTATGTCTCTATCAGCTTTACACATTTTACAGGAAAAAAGCTCTTTATTGACAAGTAGTGCTTCAAATGTATGGAATTTACTTTGCATGTCACACTAAAATGTAAGTGGCGACATATACGGTTCGCATGTTTGTCCATTCTTCAATGCCAAATCACTCAGACTAAATTCACATTGGAAGAAAATGTCTTTAAAACATTATTTTCAAACCTAATGTCAGATTTTAAATAGGTTTTGGGACTAGACTTTGACTGGGCCATTTTAGGATTGATCTGAACCATTGCAGTGTATTTCTGGATCTATGGTTAGGCTTTCTTCTAGGATTGTTTAAGCTTCATGTCTTCCAGTTTCCCATCAGCTCTGAGCCTTCTGGCATAAAGTAACCTTAAGCTTGCTGTTGGGACCATCATGTAAATTGTCCACAAACTTGGCTTTTTATGGAAGAGTACAATCCTTGTTAGGAAAAAAAAAAACATGCTTGGGAGCACAACAAAGGTGGGAGAATGCACAAAAGAAAAGAACCACACTTATTTATTGCTGTTCTCTATATGCAAAGTTTGTTCTGTGCAGCTTTGGATCTATGTAGCTCCTCCAGAGTAACCATGGGCCACCTGATTACTCATCTAAATAACCACATCTTTACCTGTCAGTTTAGGTAAAAGGATTTATTTTGTTAGATGACAAAAGATGCCATATCCTCTAAAGTTTTAAGATAATGGATTAAACAGTGTTTTATGAGATAATCAAAATTTTGGACATTTTGGACGTGCTATAAATGTCTCCAAAGCTTTCTCCCAGGCCTGCTTGCTGTCCTCCCTGGTCCTTGTGATGCTGCTAATCAATGTTCTTGAACAAACCTTTGCAGACAGGTTGTATGGACAGGTGACTTCTTTAGGTAATGGGTTTTACTGGTTGTTATTTAGGGGTATTCAATTAAAGGGGGCTGAACACAAATCCTTTACATTACACTATACAATTCAGTGATGATTAATGTTGGTCTATTAAATCAAATCTGAATAACTAAATTATAATTTGTGGTTGTAACATGACCAAATATGGATACGATTTCTAACCCTACAGCAGGGTCAGAAATCTTGTTTAGCTTTTCATTACTGATTGAAGTGTTTATAGCCTGATTTCTCAACATTCTGCTCCCAAACTCCAGTGTAACTTTCAAAAGATATCAATCAATATTTCTAGAGTTGTGTTACACTTTTATTTTTTTGCTCTTGATTTAGATTTTTGTTTCAGGTTGAAAAACAGACAGAAAATTAGAAAAAGAGTTTAAAAAGAAATGTTTGGATACAACTGAAGAACTTTTAATGAAGACCACTTTAAAATATTAAACTCTTATTAAAACAGTAAGCAGTTAGATGTTGTTTAAAACCTTTTTAGAAGTAAAGCTTCTGCCTTAGTAAGCCTTTATGTGTACCTGGTCTCAGATGTCCAACAGTGTCTGCAAGACTTCCTCTCTTCACTTTGGTTATAAATGCACACAGACGACCGGACTCAGTCATTTTCCCACCAACAACCTGTAAACATGTCGCCCATGAGCAAGGCAGTGAATGTCACGAAGGCGTTAAAAAGGAAGAAGAAACAGTAGCTGACCTTAAGTCCCAGCAGAGCTCCTGTGTCTGCAGGAACCGTCCCGTCCTTCATCCTCTTGTTCAGGACGATTCGACCAATCAGACGCTCCCCATCTTTGGATGGCTGCCACGTGACTGGCTGCTAATAAGTGACAAAGACAAACAATTACTGCTTAGATCAGAAAGGAGGTACTTTATTTGTCTACAATGACAAAACTTTCAAGGGGAAGTCGATCAATTTTGTGGTTTAGGTAGGGAGATTTAATGGATGTTATTTAGGATGCATGAAACATCACAGCACTGTGGCTGGTTTTTCATGGTGTCCAAAGGGTTGGGAAAGTAATATTTGATATTGATACTGGCAAAAATGTTCATATCAATGCATTTGTTCAAATTACCATAGACATAGGTGCAGGTTCGCCATGCCAGGTACCATAATCCCACCATTGGCTCTCCATGTCTCCTGGAAAAAAGGTATTGAACACCTTGAGCTCTTTTGTAGAGACAATACCTCAATATTAAACTCAATGAACATTAAAATCAATCATGTAAAATTCAGGAAATCATACTTCAGTTTGTTTGTTTTTTTTGTATAAAAGTCTGCTATAGCTTTTAAATGTAAGCATAGATCTAAATAATCCAATGTTATATTTAAGCAATAATTTGCACATACCGTCCTGTTCCCTCTTTTTAAATAAGTCTCTCCTCTGATTTATGGCTTTATAGTCCCTCTGTGTCACTTTGGTGTCAATTTTTTATTTAGAATTGCTGAGTAAAACGATAAAAAAGACAATAAGAGAATGACTGCAATAAAAATAGTAGTATTGGGGAAATATGTTAATGTCCATGTTTTAGGATAGGCTGTCACCTAAGATATTCTGCTGCTTTTTTCATGCTTAAACATTTCTAATCTTCATACTAAGACAAACTATAGAAATTTTATGTCAAAGGAAGAAAGATATAAACTGCAGTAAAATAAACCCCAATAATTACATCATTTAATTTGAAAACTGGACCACTGAGTAACCGCTAATATTTCCACTGCAGCTCTTTGACTGGAGCTTAATGATTGAACAAACCAGGTAGAGCCCTGTGAATATTTCACAATTGTTTTAAAATAAAGTATAGTAGTCAAACACAGAAAACAGGAACTCTGCAAAACATTAGTTACCTCTGGAACCATCTACAACAAAACTGGCTGCACCACTGTTGGCAAGGCCAAATAAACAAAGGATGAAATGTTATGAGTTCATGCTATATAAATTAAGTCAATACAGTTGAGTTAATAACACTGCTTCTGTGAGGAGATGGATGGACAAAGAAGGTCAATTTCACCAGATACAAGTGAAACAAGATGCCTGGCTGTGCAACTGCTGGCAGAGAGAGGAGGACTGACTTAGATGGCAGAAAAGGTTTTTTCCTCTGATATAAACTAAATTAAATGCTTGTCAGTCAACATTAACAATATATGCAAAGAAGTGAAGCAGTTAGAGAACAGAATGAAACCATTATGGACGCCATAATGTCAGAAAGAAAGCTGCTGATCTAGACAGACAGGGCAGGTCATTCCCAGCAGATATTAAGAAAGAGATTGGAAAAGCATTCTCTAAAAAGAAAGAAGCTAAACTGAGCAATAATCTAAGCCTGTTTTGTGGTCAGCATGACCAGAAATTTGCACAAACATTTGCCCAGAAATGTAACAAATACAGCAGAAAAACAGATTCTACTATCCAAGATGGATACTGCAGTAAATCCTGTGTTTTTAACTCATACTGCCAACAAGCATCTTTTTAAAGACAGAATTAATGAAAACTCTAATTTAGATGCCCAGATAAAAAACAGCCTCATTAACCTCAAATTTAACAGAACATTTTGACTTCACTCATAAAAAGCACACAGTCAGTTTTTGCCCACCAAGGATGTGAATCTCTTTTTACTGTGGACAACTTATCTTGCTGTCGGGGTGTCAATAGATTTGCTTTGCTCCTGAAGCCTGTTTGAGCAGGTAGACTATGCTTCGTCCATATCCTCCATAGAAGAAAAACGCGTTTTTAACTGTATAATTTCAGTTAAAACAGTAAAATATTTATAAACTGATCAAATTCATTAACTGACTGGGTTTTCACATAGGAACCCCCTTTTATGGCTACTCAGTCTCACAGAGCATCACTGTCGTTCACCTGCAGTTGGCTCTTAAATGCTTCCGCCTGACCTAACTCAAAGAAGTTGAAATACGAGTCAATAAAGAGCAATGACAGATTTAAAAAAAAGTAGACTAACAGAGTCTGAAGCCATTAATGGACAAAAAGGCATCTTAGACACATCAGTTTAATTCCACATTTCAAGACCTGCAGTACTCACAGGTATGTTTTGATGCCATGAAAAAAGATGATGCCTCAGATGCAGAAGAGAAGAAGGAAGTGAACCTGCGGCTCCTCAGTCCTCCTCCTCCTCCTCACTGAGTGTGGGATCACAGTTTTCCCAGAGCTCTGCCTGCAGGCTGCAGGGTATTTCATACCTGTCTGTAACAGGATTAACTCAGGCCAAACACAGAGTCCATCTCTCTTCTGGCGACAGCACTGTGGCTCAGTGTTAAACTTCACCTGTTGTCAACCTGCTATTTGCTTTTATATTAGCTCACGGGTTGGTGAGCAAGGAGCAAAATTTTCATACTTCTGCAAACTTTCTTTGACTTTTCACCGAGTTAGGACCAAAAGGCTGTACTGAAATGTTACAGATTTTCCAGGAAACTTCCCCAAAATCCAGCTCAGCGGGATTTCCAGGCTGATCTGCCTCCTGTATTAATGCACTCTCACATTGCTGAATGATGGACCACCATTTTTTTTCCTCCTCTTGAACTCTTTCTATTCCTGTTTTCTTGCAGTGACTCCTGATAATCCACACTCTTCCCTTGTAATCCAATTGACCAAGAGCATAGATGGTGATTTGCTGACCCAACGGCACCAGAACAGACAGGCTGATATGTTATTATCCAAACAGGACCAGATTACCAGACAGGTTCTTCAGGATCCTTCCAGGCTTTTGGAGAGATTCCAGTCGAGTTTGCTGAAGGTTTATACGTCATGTCCTATAGTCCAGGTGTCTTCAGTAAAACAACGTCGTATACTCTGAGCTGATCTATCACCTCTGAACTGGATGGGAGGAGCCGGGAGTCACTTGGAGCCAATCAGACTTCATCGTCTCTGATGACTTTGGGCTTTGAGACGTAGACATAGAAGATTACCTGACTGCAGAATGCAGGAACTGGAATACTGCTGACATTCATGATGTCAGAAATCAAAAGAGGTAAGACTTGGTTCTTGGTAGTGAGACATATCTACATAGATGGGCTCTAAAGTACTACAAAGCAACGGAATCATAACAAAACAGCAAACATAAAAAACCCAGCATATTATCACTGGGAAAGCTCTGCAAAGCTGAAAAAACAGTGCAAAAGCATTTATTAAAATTCCAAGTTCCTGGTTTGGTGGTATTACCCACTGTGTGAAACTTTTGGTCAACAACCGTCTAAGCAACAATGATTCTGCACTGTGCAGTAAGGAGGTTAAATTATCCTTATTAAAGACAACTAGAAGGCAGATGTTATCCACAATTAAAAAGATCTGAAATCTGTTTAACAGATCCTGTTTTAGTTTTATTTACTAATTTAAAGTTACAAAGGTTTGAAAAGGTCCTTAGCGTCAGCATTGAGCATCAACTAGCCCTGCCTTTCTCCCCTCCTAATTGTTTATGTGCACTGCGGTTAAGGTGCAAAAAGGCTAGAAAATGTTTCCCCTGCTCACTAGAAAAACAAATTCAGCCTTTTTGTAAGTGTCGGGTTACCCGACAACTGCACTTGTAGAGATGTGGTGTCGTCTAAAAAAAGAGGAAACTATTTTAAAACCACAATTGGCAGCATTCACTCTTGCATCTTTTCTTAAAAAGATTAAGTCTTATTAAAACAGTAGAATGTCATTAATTTTTTTTTGCAGGACTAAAGATAATACATATATATATGCTGAGTCTTTATATTAATTGATAATGATAAAAGAGAAACATAGAACAACCTCAAAAATAAAAGAAATTATAAAATAATATTTGATCTTTAAAGAACCAATGTCTGAGAGACCAACCTATTCATTATATAATCAAGTGGAGGGATTTGGTGGGATTCCAGGAAAAAAAAAAAAACTAAACATAAAATTGAATGGCCAATCCCTCATGTCACAGTACTACACTAAGCCTGAAATAAGTCCTCTAATGTAGAACCCCACAAAAGAAAAAAACAGAACCAAAACATGAAGCAGTTGGAGGGAAAGAAAAAAGCGAGTCTCTCTGGAACCCTCTGTTGTTTGGTTAAGGAAGTGCAGGTGAAGCTGGTTGGAGGTGAAGCCAGATTCAGCTGTAAGAAGATTATCACACTGAGCTCATTTAAGTCAGAGGCGCAGGGAACACATACAGTGTCTCCTGCTCAACTCTCCCTCCTTCCTGTATTGTTTCTAAGTTTAAAGCCTGAAAACTCATGATATCAGACTGAAAGCCAGAAGTTCCAGGAATAAAGCAAAAGGCTTCACAGTTCCACTAGAGGGCAGAAGAACATTTCTATTTCATTCAGTCTCTTCTATAACAAAATAAAACATGCATATAACTAATGTGTTCTATGTTAATTTAATCACAGCTGACAATTTATTCTATCATTTTTCAGAACATTTAAATAAAATTTAATATACTGAAAAATACGTTTTTTTTTATTATTAAATACTAAATATCGTCTTTCAGTGTATTCATTCCTGTCAGCGGTCTACATTAGTAAATCAATAAAGCAAAAATCTGCATATTTCAACAAAATATTAAAGGAGCTTAAAGTGAAGCTTAAAACATGACTTTGGGTTTACTAGGTGAGTGTTCACTAAATGAATCCCCATCCAATTGATTTTGCAGGTTTACTTCCCGTTTGTGTCACATGGGTTTAATCCATATGGTTTCCAGTAGCAGTCTCTCTGGTTAAATTCATTCCCACCTTCAACAGCTCCACATTTGTCACACAGAAACCACAAAGCTAGCATATCAATAAACATTTGAGACTGATCTGTGTTCCTGATCTAAAAATGCAAAATAAATGTAAGGTTTTATTGGTTTGACTGGGTCATTTTCATACTAGAGTAAACTGGAATCTAAATGGTTCCACTGCGGCTCAAGAGATGGTCGTTCTGCCCCAGTCTCAAAGGATGCAGCCTCTAAAACAGTTTCTATTTGGTTCACATAGTGTTGAGCTGCATTTATCAACTGGTTAACATTGACCATAATTTCTATTCCTGTTAAAAATGATATCCCCTCCCAGCAATGATGCTGCCACCACCATGTTTTAACAGTCAGTTTTAAACAGGTCAGGTTTAATTTGGATTCTATCTGAAATGAAACCTCACATTTATGTATCCCTTACAGGGCTTATAGCAAAGTTTAAATGGGATTTCTTTTGCCTTGATTTTAACATGTCTTTTCTTTGTTCCACTTCCAGGTGGTCGGTTTAGTTGTCTGGCCCTGTCTTGGTTTTCATGATGTTTCTGTTCTCTAATGATTTCTAACAAGGCGTTGGAGCTTCCAAGAACAGCTGTACTACTCTGTTTACTTATTTAAGTGACTTCTGAAGGTAGTTGATTCCACTGCATAAAGTATTTTATCTCTATGTTAAAAATTAAAAACAATATCAAGATTTTTAACTGTGTGTTTGGAGAATTATGGGTTAAAATAAGATTGTTGTTCATTCAATAAAGTTACTTATAATGAGTAGAATAAGCAAAACTGTGATACTTTATAATAACAATAATAACACATATGTTGCTGTAGAACTACTTCTACTAGAACCTCTTAAGGCTGAGTTAAAATAATCTTCCTTAAAAAAAAGAGCTTTTTTGCTAAACTCTGAGCTGAAAAGGGATATTTTAAGTAAGAGGGAAATGACAGTTTCAGAGTAATAAATACTTGAAGTGAAAGTTAAGCCCATATTTTTCACCATATTATTTTTGATCTGGTCGTCTATGCTGTCCTGATCCAGTTTAGAAAAAGCTGGAACAGGAATAAAATGTGTGACAATGAATAAATAACAATAATAATAATTAATCCATTGATCTCACATTGAATAAATTTACCTCTGCATTTAACCCATCCCCTTGGGGAGCAGTGTGGGGTTAAGGGTCTTGCTCAGAGAGCCAGAGTGCCAGTCTGTGGGAGTGGGGCTCGAACTCAGAACCTCATATTTCCTGCCCCCCTTTCAAATAAAATCCACTAGTGCCAAATAAATAAAATCTTTAAAAAGGAATTATCCTCTTGTGGACCTTTAAGCAGATAACTATTACTTTATATAGCTGTGAATTCAGACCCATTTAAAAGAGTAATGTTTAATCCTTTTACAGATGGAACAAATGTTACCTGTGTCTTGGTGAATTCTCTTCAATTTAAGAACTCAGAAATAATTCCTGTGTACGACCCACCTACCTCTGACTGAAACAAATGTAATAAGATTTCCAGCCAGAACAGGCTTCCACAGCTTCTGGACTAATTCTGTGGCACAACTGTTGCAATATCATGATAATATATAAGCTAAACCTACAACAAACATCAGCCACTTGTGTGAAATGACTTAAGTAAAGGAGATTACCGTAAATTGATCAGTTTTCTTACTGGTTTACCATCATTACTCTACAAAAAGGCTTTAGGTATCAGATCATTACAGACTAAAAGATTTTAGCATCAGCGATGGACTGTCAGTCCGTACTGCACCTTTCATCCACTGACTGCCAAGTGGAATAAGATTTTAGCTAACTTAAGAAACCTTTTTAGAGGTTAGCAAAGTAAATGTAAATGTGTGTTCCCAAGAGAACTTGGGCTTAACTTTACTCTAAAAAGGCTGCTGAAATCTCCCAAATCCAGACTGATTTTAGCAACGTTGCTGCAATAAGTTCAGCTTAACTTCCATCTGCTGAAGTTTTACTCACTGGCTCTTTGTGTCTAACGCCAAAATAAAAAGCTGGTACATGTTGCAGCAAAAAATGTAGTTTTATTTTAAACAATCTATTTTTCTTCTGTGGTTTACTTGTATAACATTTCATTGTTATTTGTTTTTTTCTGACTGGCGAGTAACTAGCATAAAATTCAAGGCAAAACAGGTTACTTAGTCCACCTCTTAAAAACAAATCAGTCCACTAATATTTTGCTCTAAGGTTCTGTCACTGATTTGACTCATTCTCCATCTTAACTCGATGTCACCAATGATAAGAAGATGCTCATCCTCACATGCCTTAAGTGTCTGACACAGTCCTGTCTTTTGACTAGATTGCCAAATAATTATTTGACCACTTGGAGGTATTCGTAGACTCTGAATAGAGCATTAAACTCTCAGCCCAAGATGATCAGGTTGGAGTTAATGTAGAAAGATAGACCTGATGATGCAGCAAAAAGTAACCTGGATGTTTCATTAAAGATACGTAAATGCATCAGCAACTTAAGGTTTGTCTGACACTAAATGTCTGTTCCAGAAAATGTAGCACTTACTGTCTGGCTCGTCACAGCTGGTGTATTCAGGTGTGGTCAGCAGCTCCTCCTCTGAACTGCTGAAGCTACCAATCACATGCATTTTTCCCATCATCCTCCCTCTCTGTGCCATGCTCTCGTTCGCGGGTTTCCTCTTAAGGGCAGAGCTTGGGTCCAGGAGCTGCTGTGGCAGAGGGCTGCGGCGTGGAGACGTAGGGCTGAGGTGATTAGACGCCCTGTCAACCGAGAAAGACCTCTGACCTCCAGACCCCATAATTCCCTGAGGTCGATTCTGGCGGACAGCTGAGAAGCAAAAAAAATGGTCAGGCTAAAGTGCGACACCACCAATAGGGGAATCTGATGACTGGTTACCTGAGTGTCTCAGGTTGAGGTGTTCAGGTTCTGCAGCGGCCAGGGAGACGTCGCTGTGCCGACGCTGGTGGCGGACCCTGCCCACCTGAGCCAGCATTCTCATGGTCTCCTCGCTCGGCTGTGGCTTCACCGGGTAACGAGCAAGATTGGGGTCACTTCGATAGCGTGCTTGAAACTCCTCCTCTTGCCGACGTCGAAGTTCACGGTCCACAAGAACCGGGTCCAAGGGATGGTCCTGATCAAGGAAAGAGAAAAGGTCAAAAACCAAGCTCTGCAAAAATACAGTTCAGTTACCTTCCTATTTAGCATCATAACAAGTCATCCAGTTTTAGCATTTAATGACATTCGAACTAGTGCATAGTTTGATTACATATTTTGGATAGATTAGGCCTAAAGACATTTTAAAAACGGTAAAACCTTTTTAATGTTTATGGGAAGTTTATCTTCTGAATGTACATCACCATAGAGTTATACTTCCGCTTAATAATACCAACAAAGAATATGGAATAACTCAATCTGAAGGATTTAAAGAATAATAATGAATAAAAATGTCCAATTTGTTTTTATCTTTTTATTTTATTTCTTCTTGCTTCTTTCTTATTGACTTGCCAAGGATTACCTATGTAAAGCAGCCTCCGGACTAATTCTGGCTGCGGACTTTATACTAAATACATTAATAACATTTCTTTCTATCAATAATCTGAGGGAAAGTGAAAAAGGCTTGAAACTGCAAAGCTCATCCTTCCTGACATGATTCTTCTATTATTTATGAAAATGATTGGGATGCTAACTGGTGGAGAATATTTTTTTTATAATAGAGGAATTAATCTATCATTACTGTAATTCATCTATAATTAACATCTTCACCTATCTATAACATCTATAATTACTGTTTTTCAAGGCTGCATTTTAAAAAATTATATTGTCTTGAACTGTTTTAAACGAAATTTTTAAATAAATCTGTCTCTCTAAGTCTCTAAGGAATTAATCCTGGAATGAATTTAGCTGGGTAAGGTACAAGCTAGAAACAATGGTAAGGCTTTTATTTCCTGATTTAAAATTTATTTGCGTCTAAAATTAAAAAAAACCACTTTATTCTAACACTTTACTGTGTTTTTTTTTAACAAAGCCTTCAGCTCCGAAGTAGTGTGGTTATAACTCAAGTTTTAAGCTTTAAATTTACCTGACATAAGGTCTGGATGCTAGAAAATAAATCAACTAGAAAAGCACTAAGAGAGCGCATACATCTGCCAAGTAGCTACTTATTGAGACTCCCATCTTAAGATAAAACCTGTATTCACACAATCTTTCAAAAAAATTCCTGAATGCAGATGGTGATCTAGATCAATAAGGTCAAAAGTAAGGTAATACAGTCAGATAAAAGTGTTGAAAGGAATATGTTAATTAATCTTATAATGATGATGCACATAGAATTTTTAATAGAAATACTTATTTAAAGGTACATAACACTGCAAATATTACATTTATGAACAGCTATATAATGTTTCTTACTCCTAGCTATTAGGGAAGTGTAGTAAAGATCTAAATTATCAATGCTCCTGGTAGATTCATGGTTGTAATTATTTTAGTCAGTTCACCATTATGTTTCTTTAGACTCAAAGTGATGTCATCTGAGGGTGCCCAGTTTGGGTCTAAATTAGTCTGATGGTAAAGAGGCTTTCCAACGTAATGGCCTTGGAACTCATTAACAATCTTTGGAGTCATTTAAAAAGCCGATCAGCAATAATAATGATTGCTTTACTGTACTGCCATTAAATGCACCGTGGACTTTGTGACCTACAGAGTTGATGCATATGAGTTATTTTAAATGATTCTCCAGGCCAATATACAGCTCTTGACACAATCAATGCTACAAGCGGGGCTCCTCTCTTGAAATACTGCCTATGTAAGTTGGGAGAAGATGCACCATCGTTGGTCAGGCCCTGTGAACTGGAAGAACGCCTCGTCCAACCAAGCGGCTCTGCACTAACGCTCCACCCCTGGTCCTCTGCGCCATGTGGCATGGTCTGGCCTAGCCCAGCCGTGCTCTCCAGAGAGCAGCAGCATTTTCTCATGCCCTGCTGAACCTAGATGTTTAGCGCTGTCCCCAATCAAAAGACAAGGGAAGCTGGCCAGCTGACTGTTGACTTCTGCTACAGTACTGCGGCGCTTGTGGTTACTAAGGGCGCTAGGCGTGAAAGTTACAGGTCTGGCGCCCCTAGTGGGCAAAGGTTACATGGTGTACCTTTAAAAACCTTGTAATTGATTTTTGAAAAGGACATGAATAAGTTTTACATTTTTAAATTTACCTGTTTCATTTCAGAAAGAAATTTAAAAAAATAACATTACATCTAATTCTATTAAAGGTATGAATAATTTTGGGCTTTACTATATAAAGAAGAGGACACAAATTGGGGAGTATTCAAATTTGACCGACTCACCTGTGAGTGCCAGCGGCCTCGCCTGTCTTTGATCGGTCGCCTCTGGACGCGTAGCTCCTCCTCGCCATTGCCATGGTAGCTGTGCAGCGAGCGGGTGCGGCGATCCAGACCATGGTCAGAAGGCGAGCGAGGCATCCTGCCGCCACCATCGTAATACGAGGCCGAGGGGCTCCGCCTCCTGTCGGGCACACAGCGTTAGCGAAACAGTAGTTCATACACATTTGGGATCACTGAAGCCATGATGGTTGGCAGTTTTAATGTGTTTGGGATCACTGTCCTTCTACTGCTTGCTTGTCATTATAATGACAATAACATTAACAAAACTTGTTAGCTATTGTCTCATCTGGATGTTGCTTCTTCAGAAGACTTTTATCGTCTCCATTTGGGCAGCTGCAAATTTGTCCTCAGTTGTCCTCCCTCCACATGACAAAGGCCCCCATGTTCCAGGAGTTATGATGAGCTTGGTGGTTCTTGGGTTGCTTTCTTTTTAGATAATTTGGACACTTTAGATGATCAAAGACTTGGATATAAACAGGACAAAATCCAGAAAACACATTAAAACTGATTTTGAAAGGCTTACATTAGGCTTCTTAACATCCTGATGTTTCCCTTGCTAAAACCAATGAAAAAAGCTTTACTGGTCCAAGCCAGTAAACCAATCACAGAAAAACCTGCATAGATGTTTATTTTGTCATATTTATCTAGACCTGTGAAAGATTTTCTATGGTAATATCCATAGATTTAAAACTGAGTCCTTTGTCAATGTTGTTACAACTTTAAACAATTTTCAAATGTAGAGAAATAGAGAAATTAATTAATCCTATATTTCTGCATTTCAAAATTTGCAACCCACTTAATTTGGTCCACAATAAAACTCAGGTAGCTTTTTAGGGTACCTGACCAGTGTCAAAGGTAAACGGGCCCCAGTGAGACAAAAACTCAAACTTACATCCACGTTTATGTCACCACTTAGGAGTTATTTTACTTTTTGATTTTATATTAAACTGTTCAACATTTAAAATACAATTCCATCAATAGAACCAAATTCACTACCACATCCAGAATCTCATTAACTCTCTAACTACAAATTAAAGTACTGCAGTAACAAATCAGTTATAACTGAATGCCTGATAGGCGTACTTACATGCGGTTATCGTGTCCTGTCAGTCTGCACTAACACACCTGTCATGCAGATGCAGGAAGACGCAATGACATGCTTATTTCAGCCAATTAAAACAGTTTGTGCCAAAGCTTGAGTTTGAAACATGGGTTTGGTCAGAGGTGTAAAAAAAGAGCTTTCTGTTTTTTCTGAGTGCGGACTGAGCCTCATGTGCCGGTTAAACACACGACACATTGACACACATTAACACACACTCAGCAGGTTTATAACTGACAGCTGGAGTACAAACTGATGCTCCGCCCCAAGCCGTGTCATGACACGCCCCTCCTCAGCGCCCTCTATCTCACTCTAACCTGAGGATATTACATCACCAGTACTAGCTCCTGTTAGCCTGTGTGTGTTAGCCTGCTGTATTTAGCAGTGGAAATAATCCCCAGTGAGCTGCGGGATTATTATTCAGCTAATCTGATTAGCATGTATGTTTGAGTCCTTGTTTGGGGGCTGTGCATGTTTGATGGGCGGGTGGAGGGGGGCGGGCTTTGGAAAGCAGGTACAGTCTGTGTGTGGGAGAGGGGGGCTGGTAGTAAATGATGTGATCTAATTATGACAGAGTCAGATGTCAAAGGATGAGTCTGTATTTAACTGACTCAGCAGAAATAACCCGCAGACCAAATTGGGGGTTAAGTGGTCATCTTTGTAGATTTTTTAGTAAGCAAAAAAAATGTTAATAATTGTTTGTAAAATTTCATTTCCACTTTTCTGACTTGTTACTGCAGCTTTATTGTGATGTATAAGTTTTTTGTTTCCATCTTAAATTTTAAACTCTTTAAAAATAAATAGATCCTTGAAAGCTGTTACTTTTAGATTTTTAGCCGCAGAGATGTTTATTCGTTAAATACATTTGTGGTCAATGTTTTTTAGTGGTGCTGCCCAGATTTAAACATTTCAAAAGGTGAAACTGTATTGGTCTTTCGTAACAGTCTCTTAGCACCAGAACTGGAATCATTTTAAGGGCAATCATTTGCGATTCCCAATCAGAAATAAAATCTTGCCTTTAGATGACAGCTCTTTAATGTTCTGAATTACACTTACTGATCTGTAGCTCCGTTACTCAGGGGCCCCATGGGCCCCGGCGCTCCCTGTATTGGTGCGTGTGGAGGGGAGGCATTCGGGTAAAACTCTCCAGACCGGGTTAGGATCTCCTGCTGCTTCCTGCACACGTTGCACACCCACATTACCTAAAAGACAAGGCCAACACACAGACACACAAGTTTAGTTTGCATTTCAAAAAACAATGTAAGATTTTAGGTGATAGATCTGTGTTTTGAAAACCTAACTGATGGGCCCCCCTTTGGTTTAAAATAAGATTTTTGTGCCTTCACAACCCCCCTCATCCTCCAATGAGCCTTTCCATAACCTATTTGCAGTAAATTATGTAATGCAGCAAACTGCAATCACCTTTGAATCATTAAATTACCTTTAAAATGTAATCATTATTAGCTTAAATCAACATTACAATCGATACATTTAATCATTGTACAGAATGGACCGCAAACTTTCAAAGAATCTTTTTGAAAAAATCTGTACACACGAACACCATGTGGAGGGGCGGGGAGGCTAGAATGATGTCATTTGGACCTCACAGATATGTTGACCATAGATCAAGCTTATTATTATTATTATTATGCTTCGATCTAAACAGGTTCACTGTCCAAGTTTTATTTTATGATTGTTCTATATTTAGTCCCATTCTTCTTCTGAGCATACCCACAGCATTATCCTGCCGCCAGCATGTTTCACCCAAAGGATGTTATCTGCAGTGTGTTGCAGTGTTAGCTTTCCTTACTATATGGTGTTACGCTTTTAGACCACTTTAATTTTAAGTGGTTTAGGGGGAAAAGCATGTTTAGATAAGTCTGCCGTTCTGTCATACTCTTTCCATTTTCAGGTAATTGATTGAATAGACCACTGTGGGATGTACAGGATATTGTTTTATAACTTAACCCCACTGTTTTAGTCTGTGTAAAGCAGCTGAATACACATCAAATTACATATTGTTTCAAACAGGTTTAAATGCCTTGAATTTATTTCCTTAATATTACAATGATAACAACTTTTTATTTTAAACATTAACAAAAAAAAGCAAACTTAACTATAATTTTTAAGTAAATTAGCTATAAAAATGTCTATTTTTTTATAATTTTGTTCTATTACTTGCAGATTTATTTATTTTTTGTGGATTTGTGTGAGATCAAATGAGTCTTACTAAATCAACAGATATGTTTTTACATTCGGCCACATTATTTTCATGATTTACTGAACATCATGCTAATAATATATATATATTATATATGTTTTGAAGACTTTAATAGATTAAGGAAACCTTCCTACCTTAAACCCCTTTAACATTGATTTGTACAAGTCTGACATACAATTAAAACCAAAGGTTTACATACACCAGAACGAAACATACACATATTTTCTGCCATTTAGAAAATAGAATAATTGTGTTAATCTTAAAAGACCTAAGATAGGAAAGGTTCATTTAGATTTAATGTCTGACAGAGAAAAAAAAAATGTATGACTTTATATGTAGTGTATGTAATCCATTCTGACTGACCTTATTGGCTCGTAGAGGGACACGCCCACCACAGCGAGCGCAGAAACGACTTTGACAGTAGCAGCAGGCTCTGCCGCAGCCGTCAGCAAACTTTGTTTTGTGACAGATGCCACAGGTGGGAGACTCCGCCCTCGCCGTTTGAGCTGCAGGAGGCTCCTCCCCCAGCTTCTTGACCTGGTCTTTATACATTTCAAACTGTTGATGTAACTTCCTATAAATCACAAGAGGAGTCAGACAGTGATGTCACGCAGTTACTTCTTTAATCTTCACCTTGATCTGAGTAACTGCTATACAGCTTTTTCCCACCGTTCTGTTGTTATATTCCATTAGCTATAATATTTCATGGATGGAGACTTTTTCTGCACTGCATTATTTAAAAATGGTGGTATGCTTTCACTGCATTGACTGCTCTAGAGCCTGCGATCAGTTCACCTTCTCGGTTTTACTCACGTCTGCGACCCGTTGTCAGTGGGACTTTTAACCTGCAGAACTTCGGACACATTGGCTGCAACATTATTGACCAACTGACTGAACCCTGAGAAGGGATTCCACCTGTCCGGGTAACACAGACAGTCAGCCGACAGGAAGATTCATTGCCGAGGGATTTGAGTTGTCAGGTTGGGAAACTGAAAGGAGGTTTGGCCAGGACAGGGTTTTTAAAGAGTGTATCGGACTCTGAGGTACTTACGAAGCTGGGGGAGGTTTTACTTCCTCCTCATCCCTGAAGACACAAAGGCCATGATGAGGATGATGATGATGAAACAGAATAGAAACAATGTCAGAAAAGAAAATAACCGAAACTGAGGCAAAACAGAAACATGGAGACAAAAAAAAATGGATTCTACGTGGATCTGTATAAAATAGGATGTTGAAGATCATTAATGATGGTAATGAAAGTATTTACCTTTCGACATTGGCCTGTTTCTTTTTGGGTTATTGAAAACCTCTATAGGTTATTAGTGGTTTGTAATTTATTTCAATAGCCACTGATTTTGGATCATTGAATCATTGAAATAGTTATTAAAAAATTAGACACACTTTGCATTAAGGAAAGAAAAAAATGACCGTAAAAATTTTATATCTAGTTTTAGTTTTACCTGGTTCGAATTCTCCAAAATCTCCTTCTAAGGATGTTGATGACGTTTTGCCGCCTTTTACTCTGTGTTCTCTGTGATTTCCTGTTCTCTAGAAAGCAAAACTGGCCCAATTCGGTTGCGCTTAGCTTGGGTTATTTCTTCCCCTCTGGCTCAGAGGTTTCGGGGGGGGTTTCTATAGCACCAGTGCACAACATGTCATCCCAAGGCACTGTACAAAGTCAGGTCAGTCAAAGGATACAGACAGGTTGGTTGAAACCAAACTCATTGCATTGATTCATTAACTTTGAAAGATTTGCTCCTCCTGGATTAGGATGCAGCAACAACGGACATTCGCTTGCATCATGTCATTGAATCTGCAGCAAACCCTCAAAACGAGCATGCATGCAGTGACAGTAGAGAGGAAAAACTGTATTTTAACAGCAAGAAACCTCCAGCAGAACCAGGCTCTATGTGAGCAGCCTTCTGCAGAGGCCAACTGTGGTTCAAGGAGAGAGAAGCAGACATACAAGAGGAACAAGGAAGCTGTTAGAAAAGGTACCATATTTTCCGGACTAAAAGGCACTACTTTTTTTTCCCATGCTTTGAACCATGTGGCTTATAAGAAGGTGTGGCTTTTCTATGGATTTTTCCTAACTGCCAGAGGGGGGAGTCAAAGTTGGAAATGAAAAAATAAGGGGCTAATTTTCATTTCTCACAAAATTATGCTAGCAGCAGGCATGACGGAGAACAAATGTCCTGAATTCCCACATTTTGCCATTTATTTACCTCACTAAAGCTTCTGAGCCAATAAAGAGACTGGGCTCAACTCCTGCAGAGCTGAAATAAAGAGCTGACAAAGCCCCATCTTTCAGTAGAAGCTCTTACTGCTGGCAGCAAGCTAACGGGAGCTAGCATTCTTCTTTGTCGCTACTCCAGGGGCTATATGAAGACCTCCCCCTACAGGTTTGGTGGGAGACAGTTCAGTAGATATCAGCGACTTCTGATTATTTTTTACTAGCACGGTGCGGCTTATATATGTCCGTTACCAGTTTCTAAAAATAATTTAGTGGTCATGACTTATAGTGAGGTGCGCACTATAGTCCAGAAAATACGGTAACTTAACTAGCTCCATAGGTGGCTCTGTCCATAGGACAACTGTTAAGTAGACAAGGGATCAAACAGACAAGATTAAACAGACAAAGGATCTGTGATGACGTTTCAGATGTCATCAAGATGGACTGGTAGCCAAAGAGCAGCTCTAAGTGATCGGAGACAGTCTTTGGAATACAGTCCAGCCATAATTCTCAACTAAGTGAAGTGAGGTCCCCAGTTCATCAGACTGCAATGCTTTCCACAGAGCTTTGGGAGATTCTTAGATGAAATTCATATTTTCAAATGGTCAATGGTAAATAGCTAAAGGCAAATATGAAAATAAGTTGTCAGTTACTATTCGTCACATTAACACAGACTCTTTATGTCTTTCTCTAATTTCATTCACTCACTTAAGTTCCTGCATTTCAGCAACTCTTAAAAAAAAAAAAAAAAACGCAAAAATAACCAAACTGAACTATTCTAATACACAAAAAAAATCAATGAAGACAGACACACTGATGATGTGATCATCGGGGTCTAGGGGGGGACCACAGACTCATACGTTCAGATTTCTTGAAACCTTCAATTGAGTGACAAACTAGCCACCATGTTGTTCATATTTATTAGTTTCCAGGGATGATTTTGATTGAGCTTCAACATAACATCAAGAAGTCCAAACAGGAGACTGTTAGACTTTAGAGACATCTGGTGGCAAATGATGGTAATAGCAGCATGATTGATGAACATATGAAGTTGTTCTCTTGTGTAATCATTTAGTAATATGAACCCCCACTCTGATGTTATTGTTTGCTTATCTCTGTTTTCTTTTCACTTCACAATCTATTAAATCTAAGCTGCTTTGTGTTAGTTAAAAAATAGAACTAAGCTATTCATTTATAACTAATCCTTTCTGTACATGATTCTGAGGATAAAACCAAATAAATTACATTTTGAAAGAAACTCTTTACTTTTTTGCAAAGATCTCAAAAGCTCAAAGCCCTTTGATTCATATCAAACCGCAACCACTGATCCACCAACACTACAGCTAATCAGATAACTGGATTTAGTCCTGCAGTCCAATTAAAACCAACAGAAACAGAAGGGCTGTGGGTGACAAGTGTGCCGCCGACAAAATCGCAGGTTTTGTGCTTCAAGACAACACCCGAGATCAGAAATGCATAAGAACCAAACCACAACTGAGAGTTAAGAGCATGTGTTAGGCATAAATGCATGACCTCTATCCTTATCCTATGCAAAGGATCACATCCCCTAGGTTAAGTTGAGTTTTTTTCTGAATTAATTTGTTAAATATGCACTGACAACAGTTTTAATTATTACTTTCCTTACTTTTGCTCTACCTTTAGAACTCAGACTGGTTAACAGTGTCCTTTCTAAATTTCAGCTGCACCTACATTCAAAACCACTCATCCTGTGCAAGTGCAACAACAGAAACCAGTGTTTCCAAAAAAGTTTAAAAAAAAACAAAAAACACTGTACTTTGTTTTCCAAGTTTGAAGACATTTCGCTTCCCATCCAGGAAGCTTTTTCAATTCAAAATGTCTGAAATAGCGTTGAGTTCTAAGCGTTATAGAGTGGACCAACAAAGCCTTGTTTTGGCTTACAAAACATGCAAATTAAACCTGAAGAACAGGTCCCCCCCCCCCTTAGTGAAGGAGAGTTGTTGAGTTTTTCGTTAGCCTGCAATACACAATACTGGTCTATGCCTCTGAAAAGGGGGACTCGTTAGGGGCATTGCTGGCCTGGCTGACCAGGCGAGATGTCTTGGTCCCCTGCATGGCGATTATGATTAGGATAGCAGGAAAGAATCAACTCTATCGCTGCATCCATCCATCCAGATACCAGAAGAGTTTTTTTATTGTGGCCAAATGGCTTTTTACTCAGAGTGCCACTGTGCTGGGGGATGAAATTTGTTGTGGCCTGAATTAGGATGGGTGTAACATATTTAAAAATTTGTAAAGCTAAAAAATAAGTAAATGAATAAATAATAAATAAAAAATTGCTTTCCAGTGTATTGATTTTGTATAGATAATTATTACTCTTACTATACTATTGCTGTTTTTTGAATTTGCTTTGAAAAATTCTCAGTTTTAATAAGTGTTTTCTCTTTATCTTTCTTTTTTATTTTATGGAATCAGTATTCAGAGATCAAAGAAAGAGAGTTATCAACAAAGTTCAATGCCATAGAGTAGGCAGATGATTTTGCTGCTTGTTTTGTAGCTCTCATTGAGCAGTTGCTTGAGACTAGTTACTGCATACAATATTTAAAATTTAGTAAATATTTGTAAATATTTACAGCATATATACTTCTTAATTAAAAAGTTAACAAAAACTGACCATGCACCCTTAGGTGCTAGTGCCATCTGGTAAATTACAGTAGACATATATCATTAAGTAGTTAACTGTGGTAAATGGTAAATGGCATGTACTTATTTAGTGCCTTTATTCAAGTCAGTAGACTTGACCAAAGCGCTTTACACTACATTCATTCACCCATTCACGCACACACTGATGGTGGAAAGCTACAGCTGCCCTGGGGCTCACTGACAGAAGCAGGGCTGCCGTACACTGGCACCACCACCATCAGTAGAAAATGCAGGTGAAGTGTCTTGACACTGAAAGTCGGAGTCGGGGCTTGAACCGTCAATCCTTCGATTTGAGGGCAAACTTCTACATCCAACGCCACTGTCACCCTTTATCTGTGCAATGACTTAAGTTATTTTTAATTACAATTTACTCATTGTTTGCTATGTTATATGCAGCAGTGTTTTACAACAAACTGTCTATAGCTAACAAATAATTGTTACACTTTATTTGGAGTAACTCTTTCGGTAACCTCTTTACTAAAAAAAGAAGCATCAAATTAAAGATATTACTAGGACCCCATCCCCCAGTGACAGTTGGGGGACTCAGGCCATAGTCGTCCCTAGTTTGTAACCGTATTTCTACCGCTCATGGAGGGCTGGTGCCTATCTCCAGCAGTCTATAGCAAACCATGGAGAGGTCGCCAGTCCGTCACAGTGTGTCGTTTTAGTTTTTTTGTTGTTTTTTTTGTATTAATGAATATTATTTAAGTCAAAATAGCCCCTCAAAATCTATAAAGTCACTCAAGCCGTGCCTTTGTATAAAAACATTAAAATATATCTATAGTAAATGGTCTGTACTTGTATAGCTCAATTTAAAGTCCAATATATATATATATATATATATATATATATATATATATATATATATATATATATATCTTGCTATTCAGAAGTTATATTTTATTTGCAGCTCAGGTGTCTTTAGGGGACTTCATATGTATTTCACTGCCTTTGGGAAACAGGAAGGTCTCTCTATGAATACTGTTCTTCCAAGATTTAATTTAAACCTTATTATCAGAAACGTTTTATGTTTTTATTTTATCCTTTACTGATTGCGTGTATTTCAGGGTACTGTTCATTCAGAAAGTGAGCTGATACCTGAGCTACCCTTCATTTTTGCTGCACATGGCATCTTTTTTTTGTTTTTGGACGTGGTGTTTTCTGCAGCACGTGATGGCAGAAACACACTGATAAATACTGATTAATGAAATCCCTCTCACTTCAGCATGCTCTGCTCCTTCTCCTCCTCTTTCTTCTGTCGCTCCATCACGGAGAGGATGATCCTCCGCTCCTCCTCGGTCAGATGGCTCAGGTCCGGCAGCTCCGGTCCGGCCCCGGTGGGCGGCGTGAGCCCGGCCGCTCCAGACATCCCGACCGCGAGCCGCTGCAAGACAAGGAGGACGGTGTCATGAGTCGGTCCGTTTGAGCGCGGAGGGCCGTCAGTACCGTCAGTAAATCATGATGACGATGATGATGTTGATGATGCAGGCTGCAGAGCCGCAGAGCGCTCATTTTATTTCTTCCAGGTGCGTTTCCGTGCAGCTCTGTAGATGCAGCCTCATCCGCCATCAGACCACCTGTTCGTCCATCCATCCATCCATCCATCCATCCATCCATCCATCCATCCATCCATCCATCCATCCATCCATCCATCCATCCATCCATCCATCCATCCATCCATCCATCGCTTACCGACAGGCGCAGCGGAGTCCTCCTGCCTGTTTAGTCCCTGTCCATGTTGCCTCCTCCGGTGCTCAGCGGCGGCTCCGGTCGGCTCTGCGCCCCGCGCTCGGCTCTCATCCTTCACTCCGAGTCGGTCAGCTCGGCCTGCGGTCGTCGCTTTGCTTCGCCGAGGATTCCTGATTTCGTCTCGGTGATAATGGACGCAGCGGCGGCGGCGGCAGAGGAGGAGGAGACGGAGGAGAAAATAAATAAATCCTCCATAGGAAGCGGGGCGGGGCCACGACACGACGGCGCTTACGTGCGACAAAGATCAGCTGGCCGTCGGCGGGTGGGCGGTGGTGGCGACGGTGCGGGGGTGGAGGGTGTTCTTCAGAGGCTAAACATAGACCTGCAGCCAAAGATAGAAATACAACCGAAACCTCTCAGCAGTCAATCAATCAATTAACTATTAATGGCTGCTTCCCTCACGCCTGGCCTGGAAGCATTTAAGATCCACTATATAGTGATGAAAATAAGACTTAACTCGAATAGGCTTATCTTCTGAAAAATAATCAGAAATGTTCTGATAAGATTCTTATCAGGGGCGGAGCTAAATGGGGGCCATGGCCCCCACTGGCCCCCCCTTAGCCAATCATTTGCCACCCCTACTATTTTTTCCTTTCTAATACAGATGGTGGCAGCAGTAATACTCTCAATTGGAATATTCAAAACATTTAAATTTTTATTACTTGACAACAAAAACACTGTTATGAATTATGCACATCAATGTACTTATATTAAAAATGATAAGAACCGAATTCATGCCCTTTTCAGAACTAGATTTTCTGTTATGATGGGGTAAAGAGAAAATGATATTTCTCTGCAAGTCATCTAGCAGCAATTGCTTAACTATCGGTAAGCAGAGTATGCAGTTGCTTTGGGGCCCCCTATGCAATTGTGGACTAGGACGTCTCTTTGCAAATGCATTGATGCGAAAAATTTGTCTTTAACCCAACTGTTACTAGACTGACTGACCGGACCGTATTTATACCCCAGCACATGGCAGATTTCAACAGGATGGTGAGCCGTTTAAATGCGACACCAATAGCAAGCAGACAGTGTTACTTTTAATTACTATGTTAATAACTGTGTATAGTTCATTAGACTGTTTGTCAAAAATACACTCATATAATATGTTTCAAACCGCAATAAAGATCTTAAAAGAAAGATATATTTGAGTATTTTATTTTTTACAATACGACTTGGAATTATGGGTAATCCAGAGCATAGATTAAAACCATAACATAAGCGACGACAGATAGCAAAAAAGAGAGCGGAAAAAACTTCCCAAAATAAAAAACTTGACAATAAAACTTCTCCCTCTTCGGTTCTTTCAAAGAACCGAAGAGGGAGAGGTGGATGTTGCTACTACAGTGAGTAAAGGTTGCGACCAGTAGATGAATTGAGAGACTCATTTTACAGCAGAATATACTAAAGTTTATCCATGTCTAGTGAAGGTGAAGTATGATGAAATGATGAAGTGTGTATGTATGGGGCAGATTTCGGTTTGGTTGACTACGGCGGCGGTGGGGGGTGTTGTACTTCATATGGGGCCCACCAAGATAATGTTGTTTATGGGCCTATTGTTGTGTCGTTACGCCATTGCTCCAGTGGAATATTCAAAACATTTTAACTTTTCATACATTAACAATTACTTGACAACAAAAACACTTTTGTTAATTATGTACATTAATGTACTTATATTAAAGATGATAAGTACAGAATTCATGCCCTTTTCAGAACTAGATTTTGCATTATATGGGGTAAAGAGAAAATAATATGGCTCTGCAAGTCATCTAGAAGTCTTCAGTGAAATAATAGATAAATAAATGTTTTAGTAAAAATGTATTAAATAATCAATTTATGTAGAGATTAGTAGTTGTAATCAATTTTATGCATAATGATTATTGATAAAAGTAGGTAAGTAATGACAACGGAAAAGATATTCCCCTCAGAACTCAAACCTGAAAGAATTGTTTCCTCTATACTTTTAATCTAGAAAGCACGGATGTTATAATATATGCGTCTATTTTTTTTTTTAGGAAACTCTGCTGGAAAGTATGGTTAGTCTTTATTAAGTGAATATGGATGTTGTGATCGTTAATTTTTCTGTTGGAACAGTGTAGATTTACCCTGAGGTTCTGGCGCCTATCCACTTTCGGCCACCCCTCAGCGTACATTGGTTAGTGCCTGGCCACCCTAAAAATATTCTCTCTACGCCTCTGGATAAGAAATAAGAACAGGATCAGAAAACATAAAACAAATTTTAATTTATAGTATAATATTATAGTATAAACAGAGAGTAATTTATATGTCATCAAAATTTATATGATACAATATGTTTTTTTTTTATAAATAAAACATAATATGAGTATGTTTATTATAATTTAGTATTACACACTATATTGTTTTTCATGTAGCAAATATTATTTACTTACTATAAAACTTAAAATAAGTAGACAACAGATTAATTACTTCATAGATACATTAGACTGATAATAGCACCACCTGGTGCATATTATCAATAATACACCAGCTCTACTATTATCATTACTACTATTATTCTAATATGGGATAGAGTCGTTTGCAATGGTCTCTCTCAATAAAAAAGTATTGGGTTTGAATCCCAGAATAATTCTTTTTGCATCAAGTTTTCATCTTTCATCCTGTGGTACTAGGTTTTCTGCCTCCTCCAAGAGAAAAATGTGCTTGTTAATAATGAGGTGGGCTTAAAATGTCAGTGCTGGGATATCTTTTTATTTTTCTCTAGATTTAGTGTTTAAATTTCCACTTTGATTCCAAGCCTGCTGCGTATTAAGTGTTCCTGCCATGCAACAACATGTTTGTCTGGGTCTAAAGGGGCAAAACATTTGTTTGAATAATTTTTCCAGGCAGAGAGGTTTAAGCTGTTTTTATCTGTCCCATTTTTAGATATGAGTTTTAGAGGCAATGCAGTGTTTGAACTATAACACTCAATACATTCTCAGTTAGATTAATTTGGGATTTGGCTCCAACACGTTAACACACTATTATCTACAGCAGAGGTTTGGAAACTTTTCAACTTCTGACCCATAAAATGGTACCATGTCTCCCTCTGAGCGTGCCTGACTGAGTTCCCTGTTGGACTCATTGGAACTCTGAACCTGCTTGAACGGTTTGTGGATTCCTGGAACCCTGGATCTATCTGTTCCTGTTTGGATCGGAACCCCTAACTGGGCTACTGACTCCTGGATCTCAGAATGGTGCTGTTCTGAACTTTTCCCCTGACCTGGATTGGTTTCATTAAACTTTTTGAAACTTCCCACTGTCTGACTCGCCTGAATACTGGGTCCATCTATCCTGTTTCATGACAGTTTAATTTGCTTTAATAGCTGCTTTTATATTTACTTGCCTTTATTCTTCTTCTATTTAATTGTTTAATTCATGTAAATGACATTGAAATGTCTTTGTGCTGAGTTGTGCTATATAAATAAATTGCTGTGCTATGACGTCCTGAAAGTGTTTAATTAGCAACAATGAAGTATTTTTTTTCTTCTCAATTTACAAAATTCTATAAAATATTCTTGAATAACAATACCAAATAAAATGTAAAAAAAATTATTATTATATTTTAGCAAGTGTTTTCCCTTTATTTTCACCTAAAGTTAGAAATGGCACTGTGGTTATTTAAAAAGGAAAGATCTATGTTAAAAAAAAAAAGTAATATAATGTAAAAGAGTTATTTTCGCAGCAGTCAAAAACGGCTCTTTAGATTGTAAGGGTTGAAGACCCCTGGTCTAAAAGATAAAATCCTAATAAAGGGGTGGAAACAGGTTATCTCTGATCTGTCAGTAGTTTTTGGTAGGGGATCAGAGTGATGTCATCATCTGATCACATGGCTTGTAAACTAGGCTAAGAGGATTATTCTGTTTTCCCTTCTGTCATATTTATGTTCTGTTTTTATCATTCAGCCTGTTTGCTTTTATAAGGAGAAGCAGAGGGACCCGGACGGTCAAGAGGCTTTTTGACTTAACGGTTCACAGATGATAGGAAACGAATCAGTGGATGATCAACAGATGAAGCTGAATGCTTGTGCTCTGTTTCTGCTGCTGCTCAGCCCTCTGCGACGGGTTGACTGCAGCCTGCCCGTCTTCACTCCCGCCACAGCAGCTCTGCAGGTAGGATAAGGGTGAGCTCAGGAAATCAAAAAACATAGAGGATGGTGCAGAAAGACGTGCATTTGGTTGTTTAACATAAAAAGGTCAGATGTTTGTTTTAGGAATGTCCTGTTTGATGATAATGTAGGTCATGAGGCCTCAGGTTGGACTTGAAGCACATTTCTAGGAGATTCTTATCCTGAGATGCAAAATATGGACAGTATTTGTATAAAAAACTGCTTAAATGGAGGATTCATGAGACATATGACCGTCGGTGTTTATTCTGCAAATCTATAAAAGAGTCCCGAGGGATAGATGTGTGTCTGGCTTTAAATCTGCCCAGTAGGTTTTTTAATTTGGGCCTATTTAAAATCAGATCCTTCTTTTTAAACACTCTCTTCTCTGGAGCATTCTCACACTGGCTTCTTTAAGGTGACAAAAACAATGCAGGGGCACAGAGATATTTAAACAAAAACAAATGATAGCTACAGTCTTTTTAAATGTGTTGTAACATATATGATTCACAGAATTAACACAAGGTATATCTGTAAACTAAATATACATCCTTGTATTTGTGTTTAAAACTGACCTTTCAGAAGGTCGGCTTCCAATTCCTTTTGTTTGACATCCATTGAATCCTCCTGCTTTGTTACTTGGAAATCCACATCTAAAGCACATATTTTGTTTCTATAATCAGACACAGTGTAAACCACCCTTTTGCTCTCTTTTAGGAGAAGGTTTCTGCAAACTCTGAATCAAACACTATCACCTCTCTAAAGGAGCACGGCTTCATGCGGCTTCCTGGAATCTGTCGACGCCTGAAAAGACGCAGAGTCACTATAGTGGTAAATATCTTCACGTCGACAGAGCACAGAGATTTTTTATAGTGTTATTTTTTATTTTTTTTTTTTTTTTTTTACATTTTTTTACTAATTCCTGTTTAAAATAAATTTTTTTCCTGAAAATTATCATACAGACATTTTTCACAAATGTTTAAAAACCTTTACATACCGGTAAATTAATTATAAATTGCAAAGGAGTAAATTTACACATCCAACACTTCCTTGAGTGAATTTATTAAGATGGGTAGATGTGTTAAAATGAAGACATTCCTTTAAATGATAGTTGCTGTGAATAAGCTCTCTATTTTTTATAAATGGAATCACACTACAGGTGTAACTCATCAGTCAAAGCTCTAATGTTTTACTGATGAAAGGCCCACATTGCATCTGAGTTTATTTTGCCTTGATGCGGAGTGAGCTTGATGGTAAGAGGAGGTTGACAGAAAAAATGTTTTTTTCAGTGTTAGAGAACAACAGCAGAGATCGACTGTTGTTATCGGGGGAACAAATACTCTCCGTTGCAGAGATGCTATATATGATGCTAAAAATAATTTGTGGGAGAAGCATATTACACATGGTAAGAACTCAGGTGCTAAGATTTCAAGAACCGCGGCTCCAGAGACTTACTAGGCTGTTTCACTGGGAGGCAAAGCAATAGACCCAGCAGGGTATTTGGATTCTTTGAAATAGGTTGGTTTTCTGATGCTAAAAAATTTGTTTTTTCTTTTTTCCTTTGAAAGCAAGTTTTAAGTTCTGAGTTTCCAAAACATTGATTGTTGGACTGTTGAGACTACAGGTAATTTTAACAGCAATAAAAAGGACTGCAGTGAAATACAGGATGAATATCTACTATAGCATATATATCTTTGAATTTCTAAAACATTTTGAAAACTTACTCACTTTATCTATCTAAGTATATAATAATTTAGAGCAACCACAGCTACAGCAAAGCTCTGCAGGTGTAAAGCAAAGAAACAGTACAGGAAACATGGGAAAGATGAATATGAACAGACAGTCAAAAATAAATTAGAATAAAAAATAAAAAGTGCAAAAAGAAGATTTTGCGTTGACCCAAAAGCCAAGGGAGATGATTCCATATTCTGGGAGCAGCAACACTGGAGGCTTTGACCTTCTGAGCTTCCATCTCTGCACCTTCAGCAGCAGCTAATTAGCTAGTCATCCATCCATCCATCCATCCATCCATCCATCCATCCATCCATCCATCCATCCATCCATCCATCCATCCATAACTACCCTCTATGACTCTGCTGTGTCTCTTTTTTTCCTCCTCTCTCAGTGTAACCTTGACAAGTTCTGTTGGGGCCAGAGTTGGTGGAGAAGACAGAAGACTCCACCTGGCCAGGTGTGCCGTTGCCCTCGGCGATCAAGATGTTCACATTTCTTCCTTCACAGCATCTGAACAATAACTTTAACAACTACTAAAAAACTACAAGCAGAAATGTTAGCTTTGTTTTAATCGTGCTTTTTGGTTTCATATTTATGTGAACCTTAAATTTCAAAAATAAAATGTAAATATTTTTTTTTTATGTTCAGCCGAGATTAAGTTTCTCTGGATTAAAGAGGAACATTTATTTATGATTGTAATTATGACTCATATGTTTGTCAAGGTGTGATTCTCAGCCCTTTAGATGGCGCTGTGGATCAACTGACTTCCGCCAACACTAACGTTTCCACCTGGGCATGTAGACTAGAGGAAGTGACAATGATTCCCTTTCATAATAAATGTTTAGTGTTCAGCCAAACTCTTCCATATCCCTACTGGCTACCTGGATTTGGTTTTTACTTGGATGTAGTTTTTACATATGCATATATATACATACATAGATATATATACAGAAGAGCTATATGTATAAATATGTTATCTCTTTTTTTATTTTTATTTTTATCTTTATTAATCTTGTGTTGTTGGATGTGTGTATATACATATAAAACTGTAACTGGAGCGTGTAACAAAAGTAATTTCCCTCTGGGATTATTAAAGTATTTCTGATTCTGATTCTGATCCCCACAGACTGCTGCAAAGTCAGTTACTTGATTCCACTGGCTGGAATTAGTTAGACAGATAATGTTTTTCCTAAATACTTTTCACGTCAAACTGATTCTAAAAAAGAACAAAGAACATTAGAAATTGGATCAAGAACAAGGACTCAGGAAATAACTAGAAAGATGCTGGAAGGTGAAAGAGGCTGTAGTGCTTATGATCATTGGAGCACTGAGGCAGTAACCTCTCCACACTGGAAAAGTGGCTACAACAGATACCTGGAGAAACGTCAGACATCTTAGTCCAGAAATATGCAGTTCTACAGATAGCTAAGATACTGCGATGAGCTTTAAGCTTCCAGGCCTCTGGTAGAGGACCCAAGCTTCAGATGAGTAAACATCAGAGGTCGGTAGGAGGAGGTGGTGATTCTTAATGTGGGCTCCTGGAGAATTTTGGCAAACTCACAGCACTTTTACATACTAAAAATCCTGAAAGATTCATGCAGATTAATTGCCAGCTTCTAAAGATATAGTGATGCTTTAAGATCTTTGAAGAGCTCTGAAAAAACAAACAAACTCTTAAATACTAAATAAGTTTCTTAGGGATCGTAATCACTGGCAAGAAAATATGTTTGAGGTTCTAAATGAATAGTTCTAGGAAACAAAGAAACTTTAAAAACTTTAACATGCTTAAGAAACCTATGTCATTTTTTTTATTTACATTGCATTTGCATCAGTATCCCTGTTTGTTTTGGTGCAATTTAAAACTGTATTCAATTCATATTTTGCCTAAAGATGTAGTTTGATAGATATTTGTCATTGATTTCTACATGCCTATATATATTTGTATGTTATGTAGGTGTTTTTTATATACAATAAATTATGTAAAGATATATAATAATAAAAATATGTTCTTGCCTCTGTCTCTACTTCCAAAAGCTGTTGACGTGCTTTTATTTTGAAGTGTCCTCACCGGAACTTTTCTTACGTCTGTCGGCTTTTTCGTGTCGTCGTGAGGGGAGGCCAGTCGTCCACAAATCCACGGATCGTCTGTGGATCTAAGTAGTATCTCTCTTTGGTTCTCGATACATTTAACGGGCAGTGTGTATCAACCGTCGCAGGAAACCAGCCGGTCTTGCTTTCAGCTCCCTTTTTGGGTCTAAAAATGGCGGCTGTTTCAGCGGACCACGGTAAGTGCTTAGTTGAGCTAACAGTAGCTAGCGTTAGCTCCTTTTCTTTCTGGGTAAACAGAGAGGGGAGACAGTAAATCACTGCTACAAATTCCCCATGTTTGTGTTTTTTTTTTTCAGTAAGTTTGAACTAAACAGAATTCAGACTGTTATTATTATATAATAACAGCATATTAGCCGGTTAGCTGATCTGTTAATGTTGTAGAGCTGTTATTGATCAGCTGTGTGTACAGTCAGTTGATGATAAACCATCTGTTGGTCACATAATCGCAAGGAGACTTCTCAGTGCCTCTTAATTACATGGATCAAAAACGGGGCCTAAAATATGATTTTCATCTGCATATTTAGATCTTTCCCACTTTTATTTTTTTTTTATCAAACCTATTATTTTTATGACACAACTATGAACAAGTGTTTGTGTGTGTAGTATTTCTTACTTCCCTGTAATTGAGGTTTCAAATGATTGAGATAGTATATAGAAATGTTTTAAAGTGGATTTTCTCCTAGCATTTCTTTGTACTTTGATTTGTTTTGCTTATTAATTAATATTCAACCCTTGTATTGTGCTTTATCTTTAGTAGAAAACTGTCTCACTGCTTTCTTAGAGAGAGTAACAGAAGTGTATGGAAGAGAATTAGTGCCACTGAAAAAAAAAATTAAACTGATTTTTACATATTATTGCAGATTAATATGGGGGAAAAAGTCAGAATTCGGACTTCATCTCAGAATTCTGTTGTTTTTTTTCCTCAGAACTCTGACTTGAGTCTCAGAATTCTGACTTTTTTTCTCAGAATTTTGGATCTTAATGTAGATGGGCATCATGAAGGAAGAAATATGGGAGCACTCAGCTTCACTGACAAAGATGTAAGTTGTTTGGGAGGGCTAGTAACACATTGGTGGAAAATTATGGAATTAGTTTTCGTGACCGAGGTGTGATGTTATTTTATTAATGGAAGAGCGGAAGGTGATAAAAAAAAAAAAAAAAGAACTAGTTTAGTCTCTAAAACATACATGGCTGTGGCTTGATGAACACATTTTTTAGCTGTCAGAATTTTGAGATTAAAGTCAGAATTCAGATTTTTTTTCCAATACTAAGCTGAGATAATATTTAAAAATCTGTTAACTTTTTTTTTTTAGTGGCCCTAATCCTCTTCCATAGAAATAATAGTTTTCAAAATGGAACATTAAAATTAGTGTTACCATTTTTCATTAGTATATTGTATATCATTTTCACTGTTAGGCTGTTCTTATATTTCTATCACTGTTGGACTCTTTCATACTAAGCAAGCTGTTCATGCACATCCTTTGTATATGTGTGTTTATAAATGTTTTTTTCAATATAAATAAGCTAAATGTTATAATCAGACGTTGATTTGACAGTGATTTATTTATTGTTTATATTTATCTTGAAATCACACCTTGACTTTCAATTTTACCCATTGGTATTTTCTTCATAATCTACTGACTGAATTCTCTCCTGTTGTGGAAAGGGTTAAAGCAACACTCCAAATTCCACAAAGAGGTCTTTAAAGATGCATCTTTTAACTGTGTTTCCTAATCTAAGGGGTCCAGATTACATCCCAACACGACTTTGCCCCCTCATTGAGAAATATTAAGCACACTAAAGGGATTAAGGAGTATTTTAATTGCATCATCTGATTTTGAATTAAGTACCTGCTTATTTCACATGTGTTTCTGGAAATATTTAATTATAAAAGAGCACATTGTGTTTACCCTTTTAAATATTGTTTTAACTTTAAAGATTTGGAGACATTGAAATGAGATCAATTTCCTCTTGACTCGTGGTGCAAACGTCTGCTGAAACATGGAATCAATCTATTTATCCTGTTTATCTAGGTTTTTGACCATCTTTATTTTATTTTCTTTTATCAAATCAACTGTGGTTCGAAACACAAAGCAGGTTCATTGCAACCAGGGAGTTTTTGGGCTGATTTATGGATCCATTTACAACCTATGTCACCAGGAATGTGGCTGTGCGGTGTGGAAGCAGAAAAGCTGTTTAAACATATAAGAAAACGCTGTTGTGTTACATTAACTGAAGCCGATCCTCTTAGAACGGACTACAGTTCTTCCTTAGACAAACTATTGATTGTTTCAGAGTTCAGGATGGCTTCAGGCTACAAGCTTCATTTGCTAAACTTAATGTTATAAAACAAACTTTCCTATTTTTCCCAGATAATGTTCTGCTAGCTGATATACTTCCATTACCAGACTGATATCAGCCCTCTTTGTTTACAAACAGTGGATGGGTTTAATGTTTGACAAGAACTTGGATAAGTTGCATATATGAATATTATATATGATAGCAACTCGAAAAAATAGATGGACTTGCAAAGTTTTCCTATTATACACGAGTATAACTGAGGTGATGCTAGATTTTGGTCAGAAAAGAGTGAAGGCTGTTTAAAAAAAACATAAAAGATTCCATAAAAACAGTGACAGTGCAATTAAGTTTTCAGGGTTAGTAGGGTTTTAGAGTTTTTTTTCAGTTGTTGGTTTAGTTTTAAACATTACTTTTTAGTGACTCATACCCAAAGTTGCTCCAAATTATACTGAAAGTTTTTCTTTTTTTCCTCTCTCAGGTCTCAGCAGTCAGTCGCCTTAACTCACTCACTTTTATCGGAGTACGATGTAAGCAGCACAGACGGCAAAGTCATCCTAGAGTAAGCCTGTGCCTGCTGCAGAACCAGTGGGTTACTGGTCAGTAACCAGTAGCAGAGAGACAGAGTGGCTGTGCTGTCGCCTTCCAGCTGGAGAGGAAGACTGATGGAGAGCGACTGTCGGATCCCAGTCGCTTGCTGTCGACCTCGAGTCCTCCTCCTCCAAGCTCTGTTCTGGGGTCTGGTCTCGCTCAGGTCAGTTTCTGACCTGAAACAAGAGGTTGCTTTGGTTTCACTGAATCAGATTATTATTTTTTTAGTTCATATACAGCTAAAACTCTGTTAATTGATTTTTTTTTTCTCCCAGACTGGCCCAAAAGCTAGAAAAGTAGTTTATTTATTATTATTATTTTTTTAATAAATGTAAAAAAATGAAATAATTCTATCTTTTGTTTGTTTGTGCAATCCATCGGTGCGTCCATACATTTCCTTGTTTGCTTCCATTCTTTATGGTTGTTGCTCTTTGGATCCATGTTTTAAAAGTTTTTAGAACTCTGTCCTTTTCCAGAATTAACAGCCTGGAAATTATGCTAATTTTTAGAGTCATGTTTTTAAAAGCCTCTGAAACTTGATAGCAGATGGAGCTGATGGA